TGGGGGGTGGGGAGAACCTTCCTCTGGTTCTTGTTTGCACTTATTTGCTGGTTTCTCCATCATTTATTGAACAGTTGAGATAATGAATATTTAAAAGGTGCTTGGCTGCTTACAGTGGAGCAACAAAAATGATAATCCTCACCCCATCAAGGACTGTATGCAGTTATATAGGGTGACCTATTACCTCTGACCAAAATCAGTTCTCCAAAGCTCCAGATTTGTTTTCCTTTTGAAAAGGAAAATAAAATATTTCCCTGCACTGTAAACAAAGGCTAAACTTCAGAGCAGGAGGAAACAATATTATTTACCCAATAGGAGATTGTACTAAAATGTGACTTCACTAGAGTATACAATCCAAATTCTAAATATAAAGAATTTAACAAGGTCTATTACCACCGATAAGTTTTCATTTAAAACCAAGAGATTAATAACAAAGAATATGCAAAATAAAAGGCTTCTGAATAATAGCATCTCAAAAGTGATATAAGAGTGTTGAACTAATTAAAAGGAGATAAAATCATCTATTAATTTTTTACAGCTTCTCCTATAAGCTAAAAGTTAATTGCTTACTTTTTTTATTTAAAAAAGACACCACCCAAGGAGATTAATTTGTCAAAGGTGATTTTTTTGTTAAAAAAAAAAAATAGAAATTAGTGGGCCCTTCCTGGTGTCGCAACAGGTTAAAGCATAGCACTATGAAACTATAACACCACTGTAGCATGAGTTCGATCCCCAGCCAGGGAGCTGGCCCACATGGCACGACAGACCTCTCCTGACCTTCCCACTGCCCTCCCCCCCCAACAGCATACTTCATCAGTCGGCCAGTTCTGCTCCCCACTCTGTCTCTAGTAAATCCACTCACCCCCACACCTCTGATCTGTACCCCAGTTAGGTGTGCATAAATAAATAAACCTTTTAAAAATACAAATTAGTATGTACATATATAAATGAAAATTAAAAAGATGTTAAATATAAAAAATGAGAGAAAATGTGAAGCATTTAACTCTTAGTAAATAATATTCAATGACTATGTGTGTAGGGAGGAGCCAAAGTTTTATTTTCTACTCAGATTTAAACATCTTGATAGCAGAACTGAAATGCTTCCAAAGGTCTCTCACAACATATGAAGCCACAAAGATTGTAAATTTCCCTGCTACAGGACAGGGACACGATATTCAGATCCCAATGAGTGTTCACTTTGCAGCCTTCGTATTTCCTATCTGCTATTTATGAGAACCAAAATAGTGTTCAGTCTTATTTTCTTTATAACAGAGTTCAAGAAAGAACATACTCTTTATGGGCTCACCTGTGGAAGAATCGGGCTGATTATGTGAATCCTCTGTTTAGAGCTGATAGCAGTCAGACCCAGGGAACACTTCGTCTCCCTACACCACCGTGCAACTTCATGTACAAGTATGTAAACCTCTGGCATCTGTGGTTGTGGGCTTAGGTTCTGGTAGTTTAATATCTGAAGACTGAAGTATATGAAACACTGAGGTTCAGGCTTTTATTTTCTATAGAACAAAACAGTAGGTGCTTTAATAGGCCATCTGGCTTTTTTTCTTCTACTTTCCCCCTAAATGTGGAATTCTATTTTCAAGTTATTTTTTAAAATGTAAATACCAGTTATTTTTAATTGTGAGAGGAGACAGGAAAAACGGAAAAACCTTACAAGTTAAATTGAGGATCACATAGCTAAGGGCCATTTTTCATACCGAAAAAGAAAATGGAGACAAGTACTCCTTCAATCCATTTTAGAAAAGCAAATGCCTTATAATTTAGCACCATATGCACTAGTAGACTTGTCATGAGTTTACTTTCTCCAGAAGAATTTTATTGACCCAAGAAAAACATGAATTACCTTCAATGGCATTTCTGAGCCTGTTATTTGCCTTTGGTTATTGCAAGTATGGTATTGTGGGATCAGTGCCGCCTGAGAAGACTTCAGAATGTGACTTGACAGGCTGTAATACGGGGCATCATAAAGCCTTGCCCTCCTTCCCAGGTTTTGGAGTGGGATGTATAATCGCTTTGAAAAGGGGCTTCAGCCCCGACAATCGGTTACAGACTACCTGATGGCGGTAAAGGAAGAAACCCTGCAGCTAGAGGAAGAACTAGAAGCCTTGGAAGAAGTAAGACATACTTTTGTTAATCTATTTTCTCTGCTTATTTTTTGACCAACACGGCTCCCTGAAAACCCCCCAGGACTCAGGGTATGTGAAATGTAGCAACAGAGCCATTTCATCTGTTAGTGAGTGGGTACACCCACATATCCAAAGCCCAGAAGTATTTTAGATATCTGCCTTATGACTCACTTTCATGATTTGAAATAATTGTTGGTTCCTACTATATATCAGTAGTAGGGCTTTTTTTGGTTGTTATTACTATTTGAGAGTGTTAAAATTAGTTCTTTCTAGAGAATTCATGAAAAAATGGAATTCAGAAAGAAAAAAACAAAATTGAATATATGCACTTGGAAGGAAAAATTATTTCTCCTTTAAGAATAACTATAATATTATGTTAATGTATAGGTGGTAATAGCTGAAATAGACTACCAACTCTATTTTTTGGTTTTTATAACTTCTTACTTGTTAGCACTGTAGGAAGAGTAATATACCTAATTGTTTTTCCACATTATATAACTTTGTTTCTAGTGAGATAGTTCACTAAATTTACTTGGACTTTTGGCTTCATACTTCATCCTTACCTTCCTAAAACCCCATAACATCTTATGTAATTTACTTGCTAAAGAATTGACAATCAGTCCCTGTTGTCTGGACCTGAATTCTGAATTGAGGCTCGTACGTTAAATAAGATAGTTCTCCCAGATGCCCTGTCAAGTTTATAAAAAGTAGTAAATTACTATGATTTTCCTCTGAAATATTGTTTATTTTTCAGAGACTGGAAAAAATCCAGACAGTCCAGTTAAACCACACTAAAGTGAAGAGTAAGCAAAGTGAACCCAGCAAACACCCAGCGTTTTCTACCTCAGACAACAGCACAGCCAACACTCCCCAGGATTATAGTGGGAATATGAAATCTTTCCCCTCCAGAAGCCCTTCACAAGGTGATGAGGATTCTGCTCTGATTCTAACCCAAGACAATTTGAAAAGCTCAGATCCAGACCTATCAGCCAACAGTGACCAAGAATCAGGGGTGGAGGATTTGAGCTGTCGCTCCCCAAGCGGTGGGGAGTGTGCACCAAGCGAAGACAGCGGCAGGGACCGGGATTCCGACGAAGCTGTGTTTCTCACCGCCTGAAGCTTCACAATAAAGGACACGCAGGAAGCGCTTTCCAAAAATAAGGGAACAGTGCAATTTAAAAAGAAAACAATAACTGAGGAAATGCGTGATTAAGAATTTTAAAAAGTAGCCATGAAAAAGGGGAAAAAGTTCAAGTCTTAGTTCTTTAGATGTTGAAGAACAGAAACTTTTATTACATAAAGGAACATTATTTCCTGTTTTGAATTTTATTCTAGAGCAGTCACTTCTCCCATCACCTGAAGTTCTCAGAACAGGTTTTCTTGTCCTAGCATGCATCTGCTCACAGAGCCGTGCCCCTCTCCCTGGTGACCGTTACCCTTGCATATCTTCCTTAATTTCATCCAGATGAATTTTTTTAAACATCTGACATTATCTTTTCTCCTAACTCATATCAATATGTCTAATAACAAGGCATATTGTTAAGATGTACCCTCTTGAATTAACGATATATTTCTATAACTGAGGAACTTTGCTTAAGCTTACCTTTCAGGTTTACTAATCACTCTAACTTCTCCTTTAATATATTTTGAATTGTTCTAATTTTGTTGCCTTTCCCTGGAATCTCCTATTTCTCCTCATTTAAAAATGTTATAACTTGTAACTCACTTTTTCTCAAACATGGATCTAATATCTAATAAAGTTGAAGCAACCTTTACGCTCTGGTTCTTAACATGAATTTAGACCACACTAGCTTCTTAAATGACCTTTTCTTAGTATTCCAGAGACTACACTACCAAGACAGTATGGACCAACCAGCCTGGACTTTGAAGTATCATAATGTAAAGGTAGGGTAAAAGGGCAAATGGTGAAAGTCCCAGTTAAGAATTAGAGAACTTGGTTGTCACGTCTGTTTAAGTAGTGGAGTAAGTTTTATCTATCATGTTAGAAGTTATATAACTGGTTAATATGGTATAGTTAACATTAGTAACATCTGATGATCACTAATTGTTGAAAACTTTGATGAGATTTTTTGTTTTGTTTTGTTTGAGGTAACATTGGTTTAAAACATTGTATATGATGTAGAGGTACAGGACCACCCCCTTCAGATGTATGCTACACCCACCATCAAGGTAGTCCTCCACCGTAGTCCACTGTGCTTCCTCCCTGCTTTGCATTCTGCTCTTCTCTCTCCCTTCTCCTCTCTGGTAGCCTCAAATCAGATTTCCAGGGTTTGTTATTAGCTTGGTTTTATCTGATCATGTTATAGTTCTCTGTGTTCCACATGTAAGTGACCCATCTATTACTTGTCTTTCTCCTTCTGACTTATTTTGCTTAGCATCCATTCCAGGTCCATCCATATGTTTGCAAATAGTGGGTTTCTTTTTTGATACAGCTGAGCAGTATAATGTGATTAATGCCGAGTGGTATTAACCACTTACGTAACCAGTGTGTATCACGTTCCTAATCCCTTTATCTGTCTTCAGACACTGGTTATTTCCATAAGTTTGGCTATTGTAAACAGTGCTGCAATGAAAATAGGGTAGGTATATCTCTTCAAATTAGTGTTTTTGCATTCTGTAGGTAGATATCTAACAGTGAAATTGCTAGATCACAGGGTAGGTCTATTTTAAATATTTTTCAGAACTCTCCATGGAACTAGGCCAGTATATGTTCTCACCAACATTGGATGAGGACTCCTCACTGGTGTGAGGTGTTATCTCACTGTGGTTCTGAATTACATTTTCCTGATAAGAAATGACAAACATTTTTTTCACATGTCCATTGGCTGTCTCTTGTCTTTGGAGAGGTTTCTATTTAGCTCTTCTGCTCATTTGTTGATTGGGTTGTTTTCTTTTTGTTGATCTGTATAGGTTCTTTGTAGGCCTTAGCTGTTAACCCCTTGACAGATATATTTGTAAAATTTTCCTCTCATTTAGTAGGGTCTCTTTGTTTCAGTGATAGTTTCTTCCACTGTACATCAGATTCTTAGTTGATATTCCCAGTTGTTTGTATTTTCTTTGTTTTTCTTGTTGGAGACAAATCTACAAAAGCAAGCATGGAAGTCTATGTTATGGAGGGTTTTGTGTGTTTTCCTCTATGTATTTGATGGTTTTGGGTCATTTATCCAAGTTCTTTATCAACTTTGTTAATTTTTATGTGTGATACAAGGTAATTGTCTGATGTGAATGTGGCTGTCCACTGTTCCCAAAACCATGTGTTGAAGAGAGTTTATACTTTCTCTAATGTATATTCTTGGGTCCTTTGCATAGGTTATTATCCATATAAATGTGGATTTATTTCTGGGTTCCCAATTCTATTTCATTGGTTGGTTTTTTTTTATCATTGTACTATACTCTTTTGATTACTATACTTTTTTACCATAATTTGAAGTGTGGTCTTGTACTGCTACCATTCTTGCTCTTTTTTTAGTCAGAATTGCGTTGGCTATTCAGGGACTTCTGTAGTTCCATGTGAATTTCATTGATGTTTGTTCTATTTCTTTAAAGAATGTCACAGAAATTTTGATATGGATTGCACTGAATCTGTATATTGCTTTGGGTTAGGTAGTAATTTTTTTTTAAAGATTTATTTATTTATTCATACAGGAACTGGGGTACAGGCCAGAGATGCGGAGGGTGATAGGATGTCACCTCCGGGGCAGGTGGGATCGAACTCATGCAGAAGTGGCTTTAGCTTCTTAGTGCTGTGCTTTAACCCGCTGCGCCACCAGGGAGGGCCCAAGGGTTAGGTAGTCATTTTAACAATCTTAATTCTTCCACTCCAGAGCAGGGAATACCCTTCATTTCTTTGTTGTTTTATTTCTTTGAAATATGTACTTTAGTTTTTAGCTACTATATAAAACAGTATAGAGATTACTTTAAAAGTAGAACTAACAAGTAATTCCTAATTCTCTTTAGGGTATTCATCTGAAGAAAACCAAAATACTAATATGAAAAGATATGTGCAGCATTATTTCCAATAACCAAAATGTGGAAAGGAGCAAAGTGTCCACAGACAAATGACTAAATAAAGAAGGTGTGGTATATAGAGACAATGGAGTATCACTTAGCCATCTTTGAAAAAGAAAGAAATGTTGCCATTTATAACAACATGGATGGAACTTGAGAGCATTATATTAAGAGAAATAAATCAGGGGAGTAAAGATTAATAGCACATCTCACTTACATATAGAAATCTAAAAACAAACAAAACCCAAGTTCATGGATACAGAGAACAGATTGGTGGTAGCTGGGGTGGGCAAAAGAGCTGCAAGCAGGCTTAAAGATACAAGCTTCCAACTGTAAAATAAGTAAGACCTTGGGATGTAATCATAACATGGTGACCTTAGTTAATAATACTGTATTACATATTTGAAATTTGCTAATTAATAATAATACAGTTCATTATCGCATCACAAAAGTTCTCAAGAGAAAAAATTGTAACTAATGTATAGAGACAGCTGATAATTTATTGTGATCACTTTGCAATTTATTTAATATTGAATTGCTATGTTGTACACCTAAAACTAATGTTACATGTCAGTTGTACCTCAAAAAATAAATGAAAAGATCATTCTGAATGTAAAGAATGGATTAGAGAGGAACTGACTTAAGCACTGAGAAGATTATGTTTAATCATCTAGATGAGACACAATATACAGGACTACAGAAGCAGTAGTATTCTACATAGTATTCTATGTATATATTCTACATAGCAGTAGAAGAGTGAGTGGAGTGGGGAGTTAGAAATGAAGTCAAGAATGAGAAGTCAAGAAAGGGGCTTATATCCTAGCCTACAAACTGTTGTGGTGGTAATGTACCCAGAGAATGGGGACACAAGACAAGAACTAGGCAGGAGTTCAGTGGTAGAAATGTTTAAGTGGATAAACTTATGATAAATCCAAGTAAATATTCTTAGTAGGTAATTAGATACATAATTGAAAAATAGGAAAGCTATCTGAAGCAGAGATAGGTATTAGGAAGCCATGAATAGCTTTCAGTAATAAAGCCATGGGAGTAACTGAGCTTTTCTTAAGAAAATGTGCAAAGTAAAAAATAAGAAACCATCAAAAAGAGAAGTTGCCAAGACCATCAATATTAAGGGCTAAGTTAATGCATAACCTGAAAAGGTGAACTGATAATTAGAAGGAAAACATGGCTAGATTTTAACAAAAGTCAACCAAGTAAGATTTCTGAGCAAAAGGGAAGAGCAGTTTGAATGAACCAGTGAAAGTTAAATTGTCCTTGCTTCAAAAGAAAGAAGATAAATTGTAATTTCAAAAAGGGGTGTCTGAGATACTAGGTAGGTAACCTAAAATTTTGATTTGAAGAAGCTTACTGGAGAAAAGTTGCCATGTTTGGGCAGAGAAAAATAACATCTGCTGCATTGTTTTTTAAAAATATTACTACATTCTAAAATGTAAAAGCGTTAATTAGAATTTAACATAATTTACATTAGTATTTTGAATATATTTTTAAATAGGATAGTGCATTAAATTTTGCTGAAATGGGAAGAAAGTATAAACAAAGGAAAAGGAAGTTACAATGCTACAATCTCTACTAATAAAGATTTGGAAAATGTAGTGATATGGAGGGTGAAATAAAGTATAATTATAATTGTGCTTAGCATATTTAACAACTTTTAAAGACTCACCTAAAAAGTACTCCATTAATGTAAACTATGCGAGTTTGATTTGGTACATAACATTTAAGCATGGGGCCCTCCCTGGTGGCACAACAGGTTAAAGAGCTGCATTGCAAAAGCCAAAACTGCTTCAGTACAAGCTGGATCCCCAGCCAGATGGTGACCCAGATGGCTAGGCAGAACTCTCCTGTCTCACCCGCTGCTCCCCTCAGCAGCGTACTTCACTGATCTGCCTGTTCTGATCCTGGCTCTGTCTCGTGAATCCTCTCACCACCCTGGTACCTCTGGCCTGTACCCCAGTTCTGTATGCATGTATGCATGCATGCATGCATGGATGGATAGATAGATAGATCTTCAAAAAAAAATTTAAACATGGGTTACTAGGCAGTTTCAAATTAAGTACAGGGAATTTAATTCATTTTCTGTGCTACACTGTACATTGCAGGAAATAAGATGGTGATGATACTTTGAATAAAGATGCAAAAATGCTTTTGCATTTTTGTACCATAATTCATTTCATGCCATTCTTATAGTTAGCAACCCTTAAAACTTTCCTCCCTGATACTGAGAATGTGATTATATGTATACTTCCAAATGGAAGAAATTACATATATATAAAAAAAAAAAAGACAAGACATACTAACTATACCAACAGACTGTACATTTATTTTAAAAAGCAAATTGTATAAATATTGGTATTTTAAAACTTAAACTTTAATGTGCTATCTTTCACATAAAATCATAAACATCAGTCCCCCAAACATTTTACAGGTCATTTTAATTTATGAACATTTTCATTTAGACTTTGTATTAGAAGTTAACACTGGAATGTATACAAAAGGTTACATCTATTGCTTGTTTAAACCTTACTGTGCTTTGACTGGGCTTTGAAAGCATGAACAGTCAAATAAGACTAAAACCTCAAGAGGATATTCTCATTTTAAATCAAGAATCAATCAGGAAGTATTTTATATAGGGCTACTGATTTGCAGCATAACGAATAAATCAATGTAAAACTGACTCAAGGCATATTTTCAACTAGAAATATGTAGAGGTCAAATGGTTTATTATTTAGTGATGTTTAGGAAAATTTACTATGAAGTAGGCAGGAACTTTAAACTTAACAGTCAACAAAAGGACTATTTTTTAGAATAGAGGTAGGTGAAGAAGAAGGGAAACCCTGGCATGTTTTTGACTTTTTAACCACACTTTTATTCTCCTCAAAATGAATCTTAGCTGTCTTTCAGTTTAAGAATATGTAATGACCAATCTGACCTCTCAAACCTCTATTTCAACATAAATTTTCTAGTTTATTCCTCAAAAATCCTCAAACTTTGAAACATATCTATGGTATGTTATCTCAGTATTTAGAAAACTTTCTTCTAGTTTGAGATTTCAGCCTGCACATTTCTACTAACAAAAAACCCCCCTACTTTAAATTTCTAACTTTTCCTCTACCATTCTACCTAGTCTCCTATATCAGAATCTCTACATTGGCAGACTTTCCTCTCTGGCACAACCTCTTCAATATGGTCAATTTTTATAAAATAGCCATAAAATTATCCAAAAAAAAAAATCACTTAGTTTATGTTGCAGTGACAAAACCAAAGTTCATGCAGAGATTTTCAAGGCTGACTTCTTTCATCCTGGATGACTTACATCTCCATATCTGAACTAACCTGTCTTTTGATAAATGCAGATGTTGATAAAATTCCTCTTTCTATAGTTTTGAGGAGGTAATCTCACTAATTTTGGAAGGAGAAACCAAGCTGTGTTAACTAGTATAGAATAAAACTGGGGTAGTAAAGTTTAAGGAATAAACATTGAAATGAACATTTGTGAGTATGTAGAAAAGTTTTACTCTGTAAGAAAATGGACTTTTGTTGTTGCAGGAGATCTGTAACCATCAAACTATATTTAAGTGCCATCAAACTATATTTAAGTGGTAATTCTTAGTATTTACACAGTGCCTCATCCTTAGATGCATCATAAAATTAATAGAGCAAATAAATTATAGTCCTTTAAAATGGCTATGGTCTTCTGGTGTCTTGTCCTGGGCTAACTGGTTTCTAAGAAAGCTGTCTGTTTGCAAGAGATTGGAGCTAATCACTTGCAGTGATTGCTAGGAAAACACACTCTGCTGGTCAATACATAAGGAAGGTTTCTGAATATCCAGAAAACTCTGCCACACATTTTAATACTCTTAACCTTAGTTATCTTAACTATACATGCAGAATAGTAACATATCTTTCTTGCTTAGTCATTTTGAAGATTAAATGGCATGCCTTAGTACCATGCCAGGAAAAGAGACAATAAAAGTTCATTTATTTACCCCAATTATTTCTTTAAAAGTCCAAATATGGATATTTGCCATCGCATAAAGACAGACTAAAATGTTAAGTACTTGTCAAGTCTAAGAAAATAATTTTGTTTTTATCCTAGAGCTTTACTGCCAGAAACAAGTATAGGTAAAACAAAAGAATGAAGAAAAGACAAAATATAGTTTTAGTATGCTGGTGTTTAAAATGATAGTCTTACTGGGGTGAAATTTAAACAAAATCATGCACTTTGTGTTTTTGTGATTTAGATACGCCCTTAAAATGTCTCAGATATACATTCAAGATCGTCTCCTTTATTCGCAGTTATGGTTTCCCATAAAATGTATTTATGAGATGGTACAGAAGCAAATTATTGAATACAATAGTGTAAGTTAAAAAGAAAATTCAACTAAATTCATTATACATCAAGCTGCCTAAAAATTAAATATTAACTTTGTTACTATAATTTTAATGAAAAGCTATTCATGGTAAAGACAAAACTTCATGGATGTTTTTTTGTGTCTAAATTTACTACTAAATAAATTAACATATTAATTTACAAATAAAATGTCTACTACCAAAATGTTGCTAATGTTTTACTTTTGTAAACTGATATATTATTAATAACTAATATTAAAAGCTAATATTAGTATTAATCAAATGTTTACTAGTAAAACAATTGTTTTTAATTTTAACATTAGAACTTAGCATATCTTTTTCCCAAACACAAAGTCTTCAGACAATTATATTAAAAAAGAAGCATGAAAATTTAATGACAATTTTTTTTTCTATTAGGAAAGCTATCTACCTATATTGCTTCTTGAATGTTTAATTAAAAAAATAAAACAACAATATATAAGAGGAGCTGGTTTACTGTTTTGATTTATTATAAGTATTAAAAGTTACTTTCTTGAGACAGCATATTGGCAAGTCTGGTATTTCTAACAGTATGAATATTTAAAACCAAATATCTATTTGCAGGTTTTTATCTCCCAAAAAGAAAGAAAAAGTAAGTAATCATCCACAGTTGAAAATACTAATTTTTCAAGAGTGGCTAAGAGGAAAAACATCTAAATAATAAATTCTGGATAAAGAAATGAGTCTATTTAAAACTAAAAATACAAATGTAAATGAAGTAATTTTATAAAATATTGAAACCAGCTGAAATGACATGCATAGTTAATCAATATGAGAGGAAGAGCAGTGGAACTTATATATGGTAGGACTTACCAACAATAAATAAACATTTTTAGTGCAAATAGTGCAGAAAAATTTCTCAAAAGAAAGATCATAGCAATCATTTGAATCTGTACAAAATCAGTCTCAGTTCTGTATACAATCTATATAGAGTATCTATATATTCAACCACTGTGAGGAAATACCAATTTGCAAATCATAAATATAAATGTCCTTAGTTTTGTGTCCCATCCCTCTGTTGGCAGCTCATGTTTTCAGGAAAATCTGGAAAGAAAAGAAAATTAAAAAAAACATTTAATACATTTTCATCCTTTTATATTCTCTTCTAGTTAATATTTACCTATAAGATTAACCTGATAGTGAGAGAAAAGGTGTGGAAAGGATTCTAGCATGTTAATGCAAATAAATTTCAGGGCCCACTTTTCTCAAGCTGTGACAAATGCACACTCAATATTAAAAATCAGTCCTTAGCTAAGAGATTAACAGGATGATTTGGCTAATAGGTTGTAAAAACAATTTGATGTTGGCATTAATGTTAAGTACAGCTACAGTGAGAGAACGGACAGAACACTGGGTTGGAGAAGTACCTATAATCTCCTTCCTGAGCTTACTCCTGACTGTCAGGGGACCTCCAATACTCGCTCTTCAATGTCCACTTCTCCAGCCCAGTTGAGTGGGCAGAACCCATTACACTACTCTCCAAACTACTGAGCCAGAATTGACCTTTCACCACCACAGAGTCACTTTTTTTCTGGGAACTTCTGGTAAGATTCTGGTCAGTCTCTCTTGGGGGCCTGATCACACTACGACTAAGACTGTGGATAGTGGTTGCTAAAGATGTAGAAGTGTAGCAAAGAAAGGCTCTTGGTAGAACACGTGAGAAAGTATGTGATGGCTTAAGACAGAAAAGAACATGAAAGCATCAGTCCTGAAAAGACTGTGAGATAGAAGAGCTGCTCTAGTTAGTGATGGCCTTGAGTCATGTTTTCATTCTCAGATGACTAACCTGTACGTCTTACATTTTGGTTCTATAATGTATCCTTGCTTTACTCAACAGCATTTACTTTTATTTAAATTTGTTGGGGTAGGTACTTGATCTTGCAATAAAATAATTACTAAAAGAAGGGAGATGGAGAAGGGTTTCTTGAGAACAGGTAAGTGTGTGAACAAAGTTACAGTGGAGAAGAAAGAACATGACATGAAAGAATATAAGGGGAAATGGAAAATTAAAATGGATGATCCGCAGTCTATGCCAGATTATAGAAGGCTAAAACCAGAACAGAAATTTTTTCATTGATGCTGTTATTGCCAGAAGCAACTTCATTCTGTCAGTGCCATGTAGGAAAAACCTGGAAGCCAGGGAACTGGCAATAAGATTACTGGGACTAAATCTGGTATGAAGTGGAAAAAGACACTTTAACTTAGTTCTTACAAATGTTCTTGGGAATTTTAAAGGAAGAATAACAAAGGAAAACTACTGAGAAGTATATTAACTGCCATATATACCAGTGAGAGAAAGGAGTTAATTATAATTTCTAGCGCTACATAAGTAGTAATCAAATACTGAAAAAAAAATTTAAGGCAGCAACATACTGAGAAAATTAACCTAAAGATTTCTACTAGTTATATGCTTATGTATATCTGATGCTTCGTACACACTATAAAACATTTTGTTTTATAGCACAATAGGTATGACGACAGTACTATGCTTGAAACTGGATGAACAGGCTCATTGAGCAATAACACATCAATGAAAGAGTATCATGCAATGGCCTTGAGACTGAGACTTCACAGAATACAATTTACCTATAGGGGAGCATGAAATTGGCTGTGCATTGCCATTGCCTGCTGAAGTTTCTCCTCCTTGGCTCTTCTACAGTGGCAAATCTAGAAGACAAATTATTTAAAATACCAGCTACTTCTCAATTACTTACTACTTCCTACATTGTAACAGAATTCTGAGAATTATTTAGCCTGTTCACATTACTTCAAGTTTTAATGTCTAAGGTAGTTCAGAGAATCAAAATAACCCCCATTTAATTTTGTTTAACTTGTACCTACAACTGATTTTAACTGCAATTGATTAGTTCTTTAATCAATTCTCTGATTATGTCAAAAACATGTTTAAAAATATAAAAAATCTTACTGTTACTAAGCAGGAAGATTAATAAAAACTGCAAGCATTAGTAGAAAGTACCAAAAAGAACAATGGACCAGAAATCAATGTCTTACTAATGTTATAATTGTAGCAGGTCATTAACGTCCCTGAGCTTCAATTTTCTCTCATGGAAAATGAGGGTAATAAAATATGCTAACTATCTGCACAAATGTAGTACATATGTTTGATAGCTTACTAACAAAAGGTTAATTTAAAAATGTGATGTTACAGAGAAAAAAAGGTAAATATTTAAGATTCTATCAAAGAGCAAGAAACTTATACAGGCTTTGATTTTTTTTAAAATTATAATGGAAATACCATCAGAACAGAACTAGTCCAGAATGTTCTCCATAATATTAAAAAGCAAACTTTTTAATCACTACAGATTCACTTTTTAGCAATTTATAAAACATGTTATTCAGGAATATAACAACTATTCAGTAGACTTAAAGCTGATTTGCTAGCTTTGATACAGAACAATACAGATACTACTATTTCTGAAAGAGAAGATTTTTTTTTTTACCTGCTTGTACTCACAACAAGCAGATTTAAAATGATAGTAGGATGTTGTTATCTTTCTCAATAGAGCTCTTCAGTTTCTCTCCAGGCAGTAACAGGATATAAGTTTTGTATTAGTCATGAACACACTTAAGTAATTTGAATTAGGCTATCATTTATCCTCAACTGAAGAGGATTACATACTGTTCTCTTTTCCATGAAGCTACTGAGAAAATCATCTATTTCAGTTTTTCCCTCCAAGAAATCTTCAGCAATATTATCAGATTCTTCTTCAGCTTCATGTGCAGCTACTTTCAATCTTGCCTGCAAGGCACTTGCACTACAACTCTGAAAAACAAAACCAACTTCCTCATTTGTCAAATGGAAGCAAAAGTAACAATTCCTATCTTACAGGGTTTTGCAAGGAACAACTGGCCTTTGTATATAGTTTATAGCAGTGCAAGGAATATAATAATTGCTCAAAGTTAACTATTATTTCTTGTATTCTAAGGAATAATCATGTTATCTGATTCCAATTTATACCTTTTTTTATTACAACAATTTTGGTGTTGTTTAATTTCTTTAAATGTTTTATTACATTATTTTTACCTTCTGGAATTTCTGAATTTTAGAATATTAGCTATAATGTGATATGTGATAGATTATATCCTCTATTCCTTTTCTAGTTTTAAAGATTTGTCTTTTCAGATTTACAGGTTGAATTTCATACGATGCTTCTGATTTTCATATCAGAACTGGGCATCTAACATAGTATCTGTGTTGAGTTACTCTTTACACACTTTATATATTATACTACTTACTAGCTTTTCACTGAAGATATCTGTACCATAAACTTAAACATGGAGCAAATGTAAACATTTTTATTATAAGAATTAAACTAGTTTTATAACTTCTCAAGAAAATTTATTTATGGGATCTTTTGTATTTTTCTGTTCTGAAACCAAACATACTCCTGTATGACCACAAATAATTTATAATGCTTCTTGAGACCTATTCATAGTTTATAAACCAGTAATAACTCTAATGTAATTGATTTTAATAAAATTACATGAATTATACCTAGTATGAATATAATTCTGATAATAATGAAAATAAGAATGTAACTCATACAGATTAAGATAAGAATTCTTATGGTAAGGAAATATAGGTAAACAATCTTACCTCACTAAGTTCATGCTGCCTTTGCATCTTCTTTTCAAAAGTAGATTTCATTTGTGTGAGTAGTTCATACTAAAAGAGCAAATAGAAATGTTGTTTTTTCTATTTTAAAATTTTAAGGATGTCTTCAAAATGATAGACAACTCACCTTATCTAAGACAGTCTGCCTTTTGGCTTCCAAGCTGGGCTCCAAAAGGAGATTTTTTCCTATAAGACAAATTTCTGGGTTATTTCTAGGGAAAGTTGATTCTTTTTCAGGAAATTTGACAAATAAAGGAAGACATACTTGCAAGTTCCTCAATATTTTTTACTAAGTCATCCTTGTCAGTAATAATTTGTTTTAGTTGAGGTAAAGTCAGAAACAGTTTTAGTAATATCTCCTCTTGTTCATTCATATCTGTAAGTTGTGACACACTAATAAAAACAAACAAAAAAAACAAAGTTAATAATTGTGAGTCACTCAATTTTCTCAGTGATAAATATTCCTAATTTTTCAGTTTTATTCAGCTTTACTCAGTAGATAAGGTTCTATATCATTTTTGAAGTATCTATTCTTATATATACACAAAAGGTTAACTGTTGCCTTAAAAGCAAAATATCAACCCTAATAGAACATAAAGTCATGTGACTGTAGTGTCAAGCGGTCACTATAGGACTATGAAAATTGGGGCATATGACATCCATAGCAACTCCCAATTTTTTTTTTTTTTAATTTTTTTTTTTTTATTAAAAAGTTTATTTTTACATCATTTTGCACATTTTTTTTTCATCTCAATTGTAATCCCCACGGGTTTCCCATCACCAAATCACCCCTGTGCCACCACCATAGTCCCGTGCATTTCCCTCCCTTCCCCCTCCCCCCGTTTTTGGTCCCATTCCCCACTCCACCCCCACAGAATGTCTCTGGTCCATGGTTGTTCATTATTTTTGTTATTTTCTCGCCTGGTCCATTATACTCCTGCTATGAGTGAAACCATCCGGTATTTTTCTTTCTCTTTCTGGCTTATCTCACTAAGCATGATCTTTTCCAGCTCCATCCAAGTTGCTGCAAAAGACATGTTTTTCTTTTTTGGTTGCTGAGTAATATTCCATTGTATAGATGTACCACATCTTTCTAATCTACTTTTGGGCATTTGGGCTGCTTCCATGTTTTTCCAATTGTAAATAAAGCAGCAATAAACATGGGGGTACAAGTATCTTTTTCAATCAGTGTTTTTGTGTCTTTTGGGTAGATACCTAGGAGTGGGATTGCTGGGTCATAGGGAAGCTCCATGTTTAGCAGTTTGAGGAACCTCCAAACAGTTTTCCATAGTGGTTGTACTAGTTTGCATTCCCACCAGCAATGCAGGAGAGTTCCTTTTTCTCCACATCCTCGCGCAACTCCCAATTTTAACCTCTTTGCCTATGTATCTAAGAGATGTGTGTGGCCATCATAATAAGACATATGGATATGTATATATGAGTCTGCATGTGAGTGTATAAATATTCATGAAAATTTAAAGAAATCATGGAAGGCTAAACCAAAAGCAAAAATCAATAAGATAAAAGAGAAATAGATGATGAAATAGAGATGGAACTTAAACCCTTTTGAATCTATCTCTTCATTTTGACTATAGTTAAATAAAAGCATTATTAAAAAAATAAAGTCTCTAAAATTCATTCACACAAAAGGACCCAGATTTTTTTTCAAAGTTATCAGAGAAATATTATTTGCAGAGACTTTAAAGAACAGTATTTAGCAGGACATTTCTGGGATGATACATCATAAAGATAAAAGCCAAGTGTAAAAACAAAAACAAATTAAAAAACATATCCTGCATTCAACAGTATTAATATTGATATTATTATTTTAGAAGAGGAATGCCTTTCAGAGAACTGGTTAAAAACAGATCAGGGAAAAGAAATGTTCATAACAAGCCCACCGTATTTTTGTTTTACACAAAAGGATATAAAAGAAGCCAAGTTGAAAAGCTTCCTATTGACTACAAAGGACTATTTTAAGCATCAAAAAGAATAATGACTGGATTGGATTGAAACATATCAAATATACATTTAAAAAATGTATGAGTTTGTAAAAACACAAACAATCTCAGAAGAAAAAATAAAGCCTCGCTCATCAGAATTTCTGGAGCTTGCTAATGCATCGATTCCTTATTCTGAAAACTGATAAGGGGGGAAAAATCAAGCACGTATAGTACCTTTCCATATAACTAGTTAATTTAAGAAATTTTTCAAAGAATATAGCTAATTCAGGCATTAGGAATAATAAAATCTGAAAGTCACATTTGCAATCCTTCCCAAAAGAATTAAACCTAAATCATTTTTTACAAATTTATTAAGATGTAACTGACATATTGTTTAAGGTGTAAAATGTGATGATTTGATAAAATTAAATAATCTAGTTACCAGTTTGGGAAGTAAACTACTCCACCCACTATAGAAAACTGTGTGAGGTTCCTTAAAACATATCTACCATATGATCCAGTGATTTCACTCCCAAAAAATATGAAAGCACTACTTGAAAGGGAAATTTGCACACCTTATTACAGCACTTTTTACTATAGCCAAAATATGGAAACAACTCAAATGCCCCAAAACAGATGAATGCATAAAGAGGTGGTATAGATGTATACTGGTATACTGCTTAGCAATTACGAAAGATAAGCGCATGGCATATGCAGCAACATGGAAGGAAGTCAGAAGGAAAAAGATAAATATCGTAGAGTTTAATTTGTAAGTATAATACAGAGTAACTTGACTAACAATCATGAAAAAGACAAAACTTGCAAACTGACCATAGATCTGAGACACAGAGCAGAGTAGGAAGAGGGAGAGGTATCAAAACCAGGAGGGAAGAGTACAAAGAACTATGGTGATAGTTTTTGGGTGCAATGGTGGTGGGAACTATGAGAATTACACTTGAAGGGAGAAATAAAGTACTGTACAAAATTGGATAACGATGTTAAAAAAAAAAATTTAAAAACTGGAAAAGAAAAATCCAGTCACCAATAACTGGAACTATAGCGGAAACACTTTTCATTAGCACTATCGGATGCAAGCAGGCAAAAACATATACAAGAAATGAATAAAAAATTCTTAAATATATTTATCATATATGTATTAAATATATATACATGTGTATATAGATGTGTATGGTACATATATATTTATAAAGGTTAGGGCAAATGATTGAAGATTAAATGAAATTAAGAAACAACATCTAAATGCAGGATGTAGTCATTTTAAATCCTGATTCAGTTAAATTAGTAACAAAAAGATTTAATTATTCAGATTATTAGGGAAATGAAATAATACTAAGGAATTATAATTAGTTTTTGTTAAATATGATGCCATGTGAATTGATGATTATGACAGGAAAAAAAGTTCTCACCTAATAAAGAAATTAAATGAAAAAATTAGGGATGAAACTGATATAAGGAGATGTAGTTTACAGTAGTCCTGACCCATATTCACATGCCCCACAAAAAACAGGAGGAAGTGTATATTGAAATAAGAGGCACAAAGAGCTTCACCTTTTAGTAATTTTGCCATTTCATAACGATTTTTTAATAAAGAAAAAATCCTTTATAAAACCAAAACAATAACAATAGTACCTACCTACCTCATGGGATTGTTGTGAGCATAATTAGAATGCATAAACTACATGCATTATTTCATGTATTCCAGTGGCATACAGTAAACTCATTAATTTATCACTACTGGCAGAAAATAAATAACTATACCCTAAAAATGACCGTAAAACAAAAACAAAGTTTTTGTTTTTTTTTAACAAAAAAACCAGTTTTTTTGTTTTTTTTTTTTAACTATAGAATTTCTCATGGGTATTGGCTGTGTATTTCCACTAGAATATATTTAAAAGATGAAAGAATTACAAAAAAATTTTGACAATATTCAGCACTCTTAGTGATAATAGCCATAGGAGTACTAGAAGCCTTCAACTGGGGTACAAAGGATGCAATGCTTTCTAAAGCTAAATGGAACTTTAGAATTGAACATTAGATTAGACTTATTTGTCATTAATTTGAATAAAAGTGGCTCTGTAAAAATATCTTGCTATTATTTACAATATTCAAGACATGGAAACAAAACAAGCGTCCACTGAGAGATGAATGGATAAGAAGTTACAGTTACACACAGAGAAAAATATTATACAGTTATAAAACAGAAAGAAATTCTGCCCTTTGCACAGAAGAACCTTGATGGCATTATGGTAAGTGAAATAAGTCAGACAAAGAATACTCTATGATCTTACATATATGTCAAATTTAAAAAAACTAAACTTGGAAGGGAAAGGTCAGACTTGTGTTTAATAGAGTGAGTAGAATGTCTCCAGGAGCAAGGAAAACAAAAGAGAAGACAAACAGCTGAAACTACATGAACTAAAAAAGCTTCTGAATAGCAAACAAGTCAGTAACCAAAACAAAGATACATCAGATACATCCTACTGAATCTGGGAAAACATTTGCACACCATACAACTGATAATGGACAGATATCAAAGATCTACAAAGAGCCTACACAAATCAACAAAAACAAAGCAAATAAGCCAATCAAAACATAGAAAAGCTAAAAGACACTTCTTCAAAAAAGGAATGCAAATGGTCAATAGACATGTGAAAAATGTTCAGTATCACTTACTATCAGGGAAACACAAAAATCAAAACCTCACAACAATGAGAATGGCCCATATTTTGAAAACCAGAAACAACAAATGCTGGCAAGGATGCAGTATAAAAAGAACCCTTACAGGACTGGTGGGAATGCAAACTGACCCAGCGACTAGGAAAAGCTCTGTGGAGGATTTCCAAACACTAAAAATAGATCTATCATATGATCTTGTGATTCAACTTCTGGGAATATACCCAAAGAATACAAAAACACAAATTTAAAGGGAAATCTACACTCCTGTGTTTACTGCAGCACTATTTACAATACCTTAAGTATGGAAACAACTCAAATGCCCCAGAAGATAACTAGATCAAGAAGATGTGGTATATACACACAATGCAATGTGGGGATCAAAAAAAAAAAAAATAAACTTATGGCATCTGTGACAACATGAAACTGGAAGGGATTACACTACCTGAAATAAATCAGGAGAGAAAAAGAAAAATATCAAATGGATTCACTTATAGGTAGAATACAGGAAACTGAACAGCAGGCCGTGAGAAGACAAAACTTACAGACTGCCCATAAATTTGAGGCATACAGCAAGGAGTGGGAGAAAGCAGGATCAAAATATGAGAGGGAAGAGCACAAGGTGCTGTGGTGGTGGTAAGAATTACAGGGATTACACCTGAAGGGAGTAATGAAATATTGTACAAAAATAAACAATGTAATAAATCAAAAATAAAAACAACCAAAAAAAAAAAACTGAGTTGAAGGAAAGGGATCAAAAAATACAACTTCTAGTTATAAGATAAATACTAGGGATGTGCTACATACACACACATACACACACACACACATACACACACACACACAAACACAGCATAATGACTATAGTTAACACTGCTCTATCCTAAGAGTTCTCAACACAATGAAAAAAATCTTGTTTTCTTGGTATCTGTATGCGGTGATGGATATTAACTGAACTTCCTGTGGTAATCATTTCACAATATATGTAAGTCAAATCATTGTTGTACATTTTAAATCTATACAGTGCTGCATATATCTCAAAATTGGAAATAAATTTTAAGTACCAAAAAACACACTGTGGTAATACTTTCTTAGAACAGTATTACTCTATCTACAAAGTTTTATCTACTAAATGAGCAATGAAAAGGTCCAAAATAGACCAAGATGTATTTTGAAATAACCAGGTATAATATATTCTGAAAGAATTTGCGCAAGAACGCAGTGCCACTTAAGAGAAAGATGTAGTACTGTCAGTCACTACATCTAGAAAATTCTTTGGGTACATAATAGTCACTTAGAAAATAAAATCTATGACACCTTAAACTACTTTATAAAATTTTCCTATTAAGAGAACCATAATGAAGGAGTAGTAAGGATTTTAAAAATCTTATTTAATGTGGATATGAAAATGATGACCTGTTAAGGATTTACAAATAAAATAGATAACTAATACCAATGTTACTTCAAGTTTTTTACCTTAGTTCTGAGAGTTCTGGAAATGCATCAGGGACATCGGGCATCTTGTAACCAAAACCATTTTGGCTTATCTAAAGAGAGTTTTACATGGCATTAAATTTCAGCCATCTTTTTTACTTTGTTTTCATTATCATGTCTTCATCTTCTTACTTTACTTTGTTCTTACTCTCCCCCATCTTTCCTCACTCTTTATTTTTCAGTGTCCTCTTGTATATATAGCATTTCTTCTCTCTCTCTTTTTTTTTTGGCTGGGGACCATGTGAGAACCTGAGTTAGCACTTCTTAGCAAGTAGATGGCTGTAAAATAAATCTTGTAAGTTTATCTGTGATGGGTGTGGGGTTACCTATGGGTTTCAATGATATATAAATATAATTATCTCAAATGAAAGTCATTAATAATTGGGCAAAAATCTGATCAGTTACATAACTATATTAGATAAGGTTAAATGACTTAAAAATTGAGGCCCCTTGATAAGTCCTTGTAATTTTGTTTTTACTACTAACTATAGTGTCTTCATAATATCATTAACAAAATGAAGAAAGCTTTTGGAAAAACAAACAGTGAAATTAATACTGTTGAATAAAATAAAGTTTTATAATATTTAATTATTGCTATAGGTGACTCACGAAGGACTAAAAATTAAGGTTTTTATCTTGTTAAAAAATTAAAATACATTTTTAATTAAGGTAATATATTTTGTAACATTATATTTTTGGTGTAAAAAAAACGAAGGTTTTGTAATCCCTTAATATGTTCTATTTACAAATGATGAGTCTCTTCCTCAGTAACATTCTAGATGGTGACAGTTATTAGGTCAAGAACATAGAACTTTTTTTTAAAACCATGGAATACTTGAAACCCTTAATATGCCACAGCAGACTCTCCAAAATCCGAGACCAGCTTCTCTTACATGATCACTTCTTGTACCTTCACTGATAGATCTAATTTTAAACAGCTTCACAAATTTGATATTTGGGTAATGCCTCTTGCCTTTATCAATTCTGTTACATCTTTACAGATTGTTTATAACCCCTTGTCATCCTGGCAAACCCACTACTGTTTCCAAATCTGGTCTCAAGCATTCATTCATTTATTCATCTGCCTCTTTTAACAATGCACTGCCTATATGTGTCAGGCATGGTTTGAGGCACTAAGGAGAAAGTGGCAAAAAAACCTAAATCACTTTTTTTTCATAAAGGCATTTCTTCTAGTTCTACTTTGGTCCATGGGAGCACTGGCAATTCCTTCAACTCTATATAACTCTAGAGGAACTCTTAAATTCTATTGAATATTCTTACTTGAAATTACTTGATTATTTGCTAGTTACCTCTCAGAGTTTGTTACTTGAGTTGAAAATGTAATTTGATCATTTTATTTTTTGTGTCTGACTTAGTTGCTGACACAAATTGGCATACAATGAATATCTGTTAATTGAATGAAAAGTACAAAATGTAGATAACTGAATATACCAACCGGTGCTGAAGCGTCAGTTGTGGGAACAGGTAACGGCAGATTTGTAAGGACACCAAATGAAGGTGCAGCAGGTTTGGCTGGTGAATAACTTGTTGTTGATGAAGAAACAGAGTCAGCAACAGGTAAAGATGTGATGTTCCTATTAGCTTCTTGTGGGGGGAATGGAGGCAGAAATGGAAAACCCTGAGAAGCATAAGGAGGCATTCCACTTGGGTTACTATACAAACTAAAGAAAAAGAGAAAATAAACATTAGATTAGATCTAGGGGTGAATTTGTAAAATTACTTCTAAATTATTCTAAATAACAGTGGTTACTCATTCTAGATGGAATCTAAGGCATGCAACACTTTAAATATTTTTATCTATTAATGAAAGACGAACATTTAAAAAAACAGGACTGTTGCATGTTTTAGAAAGCATACAATTCAACTAGTTAGAACAGAATAGACATCTTTTGATTTTAAAGCATCCCATTGTCAATAAGTATCTCTATTGAGGGGAATAGAGAATAACACTTAGTCCAGAAAATTCATTCATATAGAGGATGCTAGGTATAGTATATTGCACTACATTTAGCCAAATATGACCGAAAGTCAAGAATACTTTTCTAGAAAATGTTAAAGGAAAATTAAACATATAGATGGTAGAAATATTAAAAACAGACACACATAAAAAACATTAGAAAACATGACACAGTACTACTATTGTGGACAATGCAGTTAATATTTATTTTTACAAGCTCATAAATTTATATTTAACTTTTTTTTCCAGAGAACTTTAAAAGAATTAGGATATTCAGGCTTACGTGTATATGAGAATTATCTAAATATCAATAGTTGAACTAATACAGTAAGTTTATATTGTCAATCATTCCTGTGTAAAAGATTAATAAAGTTGTTTTTTTTTTTAATAAAATACAAGACACTAAATATTTCACCTTGTATTTGTGGTACAAGAAGATGTAAAAGACATGGTGTTAAACAAAGTTCTTGTTTCTAAAGTCTCATTAATTTCCTAAGTGATAGGTATCTTTTTTGCTATAAATTACAAGTTTAGTAAGTCAAACTTGACTATTTATGTTAAGAGGTGACTAAGGTTTGGTTCCTATATAATCTCAGGATGGGGCTACACACTAGAAAGACCAAATGACAAGAGGGAATGAAGTTTCAGCCCTACCTTACTTCAGGGAAGAGAGGGGGTTACAGATTAAACTCTATAAAAACCCTCGAACATTTAGAGTGGACAAACTTCCTTACAGAAAATGCATCCACATGGCAGGAGGGTGGTGCACCCCAGTCCATGGGGATAGAAGACCCTGTACTTGGGACATTGTTTCCAGACTTCACCCTACCTATTTCTTCTTCCTATTTCTGATAATTAATTTGTTATCTTTTATAATATCCTTTATGATAAGCTGGTAAATACAAGCAAATGTTCTACTGACTTCTGTGAGCTGCTGTAGCAAATTAATTAAACCTAACAAGGAGTCATGGGTAACTGATTTATAACTAGTTATAAAGTTGTATTCGTAATATGTATATGAATGTTAGTTAATATGTTTATCTAAAAACAATATGATCAACATGGGAGAATAGTTGTACTATTCTTGAATTAAAGTTTAATAATCCTAAGCCAATTTGCTTTATTTTCACATCTGCAGAAGGTATAGCCTATAAAAGAAATGTATCAAAATTGCTTTTTAATAGTATGCAAGTTCTCTATCACAGAATTTGCTTGAAATGGTAACAAGTAAACATGCTGGCTTGAATATTTAAATAAAGTGAATATTTCTCACCCTATATTGACAGAGGACAGGAAATACAGTTTTAGATAAAAATTATCAGTGAGGTTCATGACCTCAGGAATGAGATACTTCATGACAAAGAAGAGGAATGTGGTTGCTGTACCTAGTAAACTGGAGAGTTTACCTAAGATTTCCAAGCAACCAAAGATGCTGCCTGATTTCAGAATAAGAAAACATTCTTTGAAATTAGGGAAAAAGACTGGGTGTTAAGTCAAGAAATATTCTGAGAAGAAATAAAAGAGACCAATAACAAATTGCATCATGAAGTATCAGAACACCAAAGATGAAAAAAGTTGAAAGATCAAGAAATCAAAATGGCACTGGACAACTTAGACACACTAGAAACATGTACATAGAAATTAGAGTACTCTCTTCAAAATACTGAATAGAAAACAACTTAGATTTTGAGCTGTACCAACTACTAAGTGTAAGTGTATGTTAAAGACATTTGCAAATTAAAGAAATAAATAAAAAGTTTTTAAGTTTTCTCTTCCAAGCATCTTGTGGCATAGTATTTTTTAAAAATGGCTACAGCAGTATTTCTGACTCCATACTCGGTTCTAGATCCTTGCCACTCTCCCTTTAAGAGGAAAATCTATTTTACTCCTATTAAATCTAGTCAGGGCTTTGTATTGCCTTAACAAAGTAGTACAGAAATGAAACAGGATAACTAAAAAGGAAAAATTACTTCCTTATAATAGTCTCTCATGATATTTGCCCTAGGAACTCAGTGATAACCACATCTAAGTATTCTGATGAAAAACACAAATAAAGCCACTGCTAGGAGCCTCCTGAAGATACACACAGGCAAAGGAGAGCTCATTCTGTTAAAAATTTACTTACTAGGGAAATGCTGTTGAAGAAGGGGCTAAAACTGGAGGATTTTTCCAAAATTCATCCAACAGACTCTGAACAATTTTTCCAAGATCTGAGTGCATTGTAAACTGAAAGGAACAATAATAGAGGATGGTCAAAATCACTTTCAGAAAAATTATAAAGTCTCACTAGGATATCTAAAATTTAATATACTTGCAAATCAAGAATGAAATGAAAAACAGGACAGTGAGAAAACTGAACATATCAGCAATCTACTATTTACAGTATTTCTTAAAGAACCAATACCATAAAGCAGATTTAAAAATCTATTTAATCAATAGTAGAACTGAAATTTCACTATATGCTTATTAAAATTCAAAGGTAAATACTGAGAATATATTTCAGTTGTAGTTCTTTATATTAACCAATCATATATTTATCCGCAATATTTTGATTTATAAGAAATAGATGCATTTGTTCAATCAGAGGATCAAACATATTTCTCATATATACTTGGTCTTCACCCACAGATCCTAGTTTACAGATCCCAAAGCCCTCAGAATTCCCTAAGTGTTGTGAATGATAAAGGTGTCTCTTATTACATGAATGAAGTAACTCTGGGGAAGTAGCTTTTAAAGAGGGGTGTGTGTCTGTATGACAGTGTCAGGAAAACCAAGAAGAATAGAGGCAAGGCTTTCAGTCCCATCACCAAATTTCTAGGGAAGGGGGAAAGTTAAGAGTTTGAGTTCAAATACCAATGCCAGTGATTTAATCAAACATGCCCATATGATGAAGTCTTCATAAAGGTTCAAAAGGAAAGGGAGTTTTCTAGTTGGTGAAAGATAAAGATTTGAGGAAAACGGCACTACTGGAGAGGGCATGAAAGTTCTCCCCTTCTCCCCATACCTTGACCTACACATCTCCTCCATTTGGCTGTTCCTGAATTATATATTTGTAATATCAGTTCAGTTAATTGGGTTCCTCAATTCTGTGAATTGTTTTAGCAAATCAGTAGACCCTAAGAAGGTGGTTCTGGGAAACTCTGAGGTATAGCTGGCTTGTCACAAACACAGGTAACCCACTTGTAGCCTGTGTGTGTGAAATAGGGATCCATTTTGGGAGACTGGACCCTAAACCTGTGACATCTGATTCTGTCTTTGGGGAGAAAGTGTAAGAATTGAGTTGGACTGAGTAGACAATCTGCTAGTGTCTGAGAATTCTTTGTTGATGTGGGAAGCTCTCCAAATACATTCATGTGGCAACTAGTTGCATGACACCTACACAGTACTCTAAGAACTATGTGCATGCTATCCCTTCCTAACAATTACGAGATGATCAACTGTGAATCAACGTTCTAACATCAAGAGGTCCTCATTGAAATATAATCTTCAAATCACTATTATTATTATATACAATTAATATTTTAAAAAATGACTGATTTCAAAATGAGATTTCAAGTGCACTTCAGATTTCTAAAATGTCTACTAGGAAAGTAATATAGCCGTTATATTATCCATTATACATTAAACCATATACATACATTGTTTACTAATGGAGAGGTAACATATACTCCTTGTTTGTCCATTAAATGATGTCGTATTGGTGGATAAACACTGATCACTGGTTTTTCCTGAGGAAACTGTGGAGGAAGCAATCTGGTAGAGATAGAACAGACAAAAGTCAAATGTTTCAAATGTTACATTACATAGACCTAAAACAAAATTAGTTAAAAGCAAATTAAATTTTCATGCTTTTATTTTGATCAATTATTCAATTTGTAAGTACTCTATCACAGTTTCGTTCAGTTGAATGAAAACATTAAAAAAAGATTACTTTGGCAACAAGACTCTTATAATAAAAGTTCAAAACTGAACAACCTTTTCGATGTGGAATATGGATATCCAAAATTACAGGATATTCTTCACACCATACCAATTAATGACTTTTAAATGCAATCTGCTAAGCAATACAAAATCTCATGTAAAAATTCAATAAGGCATTTGTATCAGGTGAACCACTAGAAACCAGTGTAGTTATTCATAGGTCACAGATTCTGAACATACAACTTTCTTGTGGGTTTGTACTTTTGAAATGCTACCAAGAATTATTTCACTATTTAGTGACTTTGTAAAGTTAGTGGATAAAACAGAAAGTATAAATTAGCCTACCTCTCCCAACTTTGAGGCCAACAGCACAGTTTTAAGTAAGAACAATATATTCTTAATTAAGAAAAAAAAGTAAGACTTTAACCTCTTTTGAAGTAATGCAAAATTAAAATTAGGCAGTAAAGTTTAAACAAATGAGATTTGAGATTTATCTCAATATGTAGTCATGTTTTTTCTAACACTCAAAAAGAATGTTTCTCTTAAAATTGAGTCTCTGTTACCTTACTGACCTAGAATCTATTTGTTGGCAGCACTGTCAAGAAGGAAACTAGGTTCTCATTGGCCTTTCACACTTTATATCTAGACTTTTGATTAGTGATATAACTATTTCTTCCTTATAGTTGAAAATGTTTTATTGGTTTGTTAAAAACGGTAATGAATGGCCACTGGAGTCCAACAGATGAACACAATATTTGCTACCCAGGTGTCTGAAATTTGTTTCAATTCAAAAACTGTTCAAGGATTTAAAAAGTTCCTATATATCAAGTTACCATAGCATAATGCTTGTCACTACTATACATTACATTCATGCTTAAAGAACTCACTCAGCTAGTATAATAAGGCCTCAAGTGTACAAGGAAATGTACACTTTTCCTGGTCGCTAATAAAGATGAGTAAGACATGGTTCCCATCTTCAAATTAAGGGTCTTTTTATCTCATCTAAACACTTGCTCCAGCTGCCAGTCACCTAAGGCAATCTAAGGTAGTCACTTAATTCTTTCACATTAAAGACTAATTAAAGATTTAAGGCCAAATGGGAGGTTCAGCCATCATCACTTCATCTCTTTATAATTTAAGTAATCCTACGGTTACATCTTGAATTTGTTTCTTTCTGGAAAAATAATCAGATCAAATTTAGTCTTAAACTTTCTGATTGGTATATCTACTAGTGAAAATGAAGATATTTTAACTGTGTTTGATAATTAAGGTAAATTTATCTCTAATGTCTTTTTCCTTTGTCAATAACATTCTTACTGTTCAGCATAACTTCAGTTAAGCCTTTTTTACAATTCAATAGACAATTAAGATACTAAGGATTATTACAACTTTTATGGCATTTCCTCTTTTACAATTTCTTATAGTAAAATACATTATTGGTAGTTTCAAAATGTTTTTATTTCATGAAATTGTTTAACATTTGATAAACTATAGTTACTAGAAAGGGAATATTTAAAATAAGTTCACTTTAAACAGTTTACCTCTAAAATAATTGAGAAATTAAGTAACAAAAATATTTTGTTAAAGTACTATTACATGAAAAGATAGGATACAGTTCTACTCACATATTAATGTTAATTGTCAGGTTGTTAACCGTGAATGGCAACCTGTATTCTACATCTTTCTGTATTTCAGCTATACTGTAGAAGAAAATGAGAGAAAAATTTATCAGAAGTTAGAAAATCATTAATGTTGGGAATAAATTTAAATGTTTTTATAGCCTACTAAAATTACTTTTAATCAAAGAACCTGGATAGCCAATACAACTTGTATCTTGAGAAATGCTTATCAAAGAAGCAGGCAATAATATTCTGAAGTATTCAAGTGTATCTATGAACCTTCTGAGTATAACTGCTCCAGCCAGCTGTACAGGACAGCTAGGACGTCTCAGTCTTAACAGATTAAACTTTAAAAGTCTGGATGAGATATTTCCTAGTTTGGGAATAGAGGTTGCTGACTCTTTTTTAAAACAATTATCACCTATTTCTAAATAGAGAAGCCTGATTTTATTGTGGACAGCAATGCCCTGTAGCATGGACACTTATCCTGTAGCTCAAAGCAAATTCTGCTACGTGGGAACTTTTGCTGGATCTTTCTGTTTTAAAAGAAAAGTTGGAGAGAGCAAAAGCTATATAAGAAATCCCTTTACTTGCAATTTTGCTGTAAACCTAAAACTACTTTAAAGCCTTCTAATAAAAGATTGGAAATTTGGGTATGTTAATGAAAAAAATCTCAAATTACAAATGTTGGCAAGGAATCTTTTTTAAAATACAACACTGGGCATGTTAAAGCACATACACTTATCCTTAGGCCATGGTATATGTGTCACTATGAGCTGACACAAAAATGTGTAGAAAGTTGGAATTTAGGCCTCAGAAACCCATAAACTTAGTAAGCTATTATAACCTGAGGTGTTAAATGTAACAATTATAGAAAATCACACAATAGAACCTCAGGACAGAGGTTTTGGTAATCAAAAGGAACAGTAGTATCCAGGGAAGGCAGCAACAGAAAATTGTGAAGCAATTTTAAAAGACTATGGAGATAAGTACTACTATTTTTAGATCAAAAAAAAAACCCAATGAATTATTATTATATGTCAGATAATCTAGTTATTTACATATATTATGCCTAAAATCTTTTAAAGTTGATATATTTCAGTTGTAAAGAAATGGACTGGCTTGCTTAGTGGAAAGTAAGTATAAGTAGTCCTGTGGCCAGAGACAAGTGAGCTGCAGATTGGCTTGTAAAGAGTGGATTAATAAATAATATACTGGCTAGAAGATACAAGCTAAGAGGCAAAGGACATATTTATCCTATATAGTGGAAAAGGTACATTAAATTGTCATATGCTTACCATGTACACATAATATCTAAATGTTCATATGGATTATTAAATAGTAACAATCCTGAATAATAAAATTAAAAATCCCTGATTTTACAAGTGAGACCTGGAAAATTTAGAGAAGCTGAATAACTTGCCAAAGGGTCATATAGCTACTATGTATGAAAGTGAGAATCTGAATCCAGGAGAGTTAATGACAAAGCTTTAATTCACCTAAGTCTTGCTGCTTTTCCCAGTATCAATTATTTTTGCTTGCTTCCTTTTATGCTGCTGAAGTTCCTCTTGTGTTATGTCTAAGAGAATGAGCACATGGAGGAACAGACCTACACAGGTGGACAGGGCAATATGAGGTCAGATGGTCAATCTTTGACTTCAGTTCTCCTAAGGCCTATCAAGGCTATGTGAATATTCAAGTTGCAGGACAATTAAGGATGTATTTCAGAACATCTGCCTGTTCTGTTCCCGACGGTCTCTGGTGAATCCTCTCACCACCCTGGTACCTCTGGCCTGTACCGCAGTTCTGTATGCATAAATAATTTATTTTTTTAAAAGTATTCATAGTAACAGTGAAAAAGAAAACAGCAATTCTGATAAAAATCCTAACTCCCAAATAAGATTTTCTTACCAAATATTAAATAAAACACAAGTACCATGTACTTTATTAAAGTGAATGCACAAGTTCTTTACTTGAAAGAATGGATCTAAGTAAAAGGTAATATAAAGGATCACTATTTGCATAATGTTGTATTTACAGAATTAATTAATTACAGGTAATAATTTCCACTTACAATACAGCCTCAGGTTGTTTTAGAGCTAATAAACAAAATGACAAGGCAGCTAATTAACTTAAGATATTTTAAGAGGAGAAATAAGGAGAGTTAAGGTGGTAATTGTTAAGACTAGTCATTTTTCAATATTTTCTGATTGCAAGGGAAATACTTAATTTCCTTTCTGAAGACACTTTAAATATTGAAATTATTATTATATATCTTATATATATTATTATATTATCTTATATATAATTATATATTATAGTTATTATAATATATATTACTTGATATATTTTCAAGTTCCATTAATTGAAAAACTAGATTGAAAGTGGCTTAAACAGTGTGGAGTTATTTATCTTACACAGGGAGTTATTTATCTTATGCAGCAATCCAGAGCTGAGGAGATTTCAGTTGATAAATTCAGTGTCATAGCATCACAGACATTCCATCTTTCTACTCTACATTCAGACTCTCTTCCTTCATGATCCAAGCAGTTCCAGATATCTCATGTAACACAACAATATCCAAACCAAAAGAAGCATTGCCTTTTAGACATCTCTTCCTAGAATCAAGAAAATGTTTTTAGTGCTCCCTAACAGAATTTCCTCCCATCTTGACCAGCATTAGGTCAAGAGTCCTGCTTTGCAAATACCTAGGAGAGGGAAGGAGATTACTATCATCCATGTTAGCAATCATTATTTACCTTCTGAGGTTGGATGAGCACAGCCTCTATTAGGTATGAGGTTCTAGAGACCAGGAAATCAGGTAAAAACAAGTGTTCTTCATGAAACCAGGGAAAATAATTTTAATGGGAAACCAAGTGTCCAGCAGAGTAAACTCTTTAGGAAGCAGAATAAACAGAATTACTTCCAGTCCTGCCCATAAAGTCAGGAATGTTAGTGGTAAATATTGTGATGCTTTTATTCTGCGGTAGACTGTTACTTGAGCCTAATCTATATAACTTTCAGTTTCCATTTTCATAACAGATAACATGTGATTATGCTTTGGTTAAACACCTTGGTTTTCTATGACTAATAAGGTTTTCCCGCCTTCTAGTAAGACTTAGATGAGAAAATGCACATAAAATTTAGCTAAGAGTTAGGAGAGGCCTAGGGGAGATGAGGAGGTAACTTAAAAAAAAAGTTCATTTATTAGAGAAAGGGAATTAAGACTCTTTCCTGAAATGAGATTTTTTTGGGTTATAAATAGTTTAAAAGTTGGAAAGTAGATTAAATAATGGGATAGGCAACAGTTACTGTGGAGGGCAAAATATGTCAGAAACCTACTACTAGGTTGACACTAGAAAAGGGATAAAGTATGAAACATGAGGGTGATGGTCAACATGCAACAAGATGGTCATAATTTAAGAAATTTATTATTTTTTAAAGATTTATTTATTTATGCATACAGAACTGGGGTATAGGCCAGAGGCACACAAGGGTGGTGAGAGGACCCACCAGAGACAGAGTGGGGAGCAGAACAGGCAGATCGACGAAGTACACTGCTGAGGGGAGCGGGCCAGTCAGGAGAGGTCTGCCACACCATGTGGATCTTCTCCAGGGCAGGTGGGGATCGAACTCATGTGGAAGTGGCTTTAGCTTCTTAGTGCTGTGCTTCAACCCACTATGCCACCAGGGAGGGCCGGAAATTTATTTTAATTAAAATACCACTTGAAACACTCTTCATCTTTTTCATAGTGCACCTTCAGAAAAACCACTCACACTGTCTTTTTTGCACAAAAATCTTGAAGCTGAATTTGGCAATTCAAGCTACCTGTTGTAAGATTAGCAAAAATCATTTTTACCAGCTAGTCTAAAAATATGTGCCATGAATTAAATAGGCAGCTTTAATAAGAATAGCTGGATGACATTTTTCTGGAGTTATACTATTCCTTGAAAGCTGGAATTGTCTCTAGATTTACCTATTTACAAGGTGAAACTTTCAATAAAATTTCAAACCCCCCAAAATGTTAATGACCTAAAAAAAAAAAATTCCTAGCCTAAAAGACTAAGTAGTAGCTCCCAGAAGCCGGGAGATCTGTCAATGTATGATAAAACAGTGGACTTGCTGTAGTGAACTTAATGTAGTTTATAATGCAGGAAACAAAAATCTGCCACCCCTAAAATAATGACTTTTTGGCAAAAGCTTGATTTCAAGGAAGAGCTCTGAAGACCAGGAGGAGGCTGCTTTTGATGCTCATATCTAAACTTCTTTCTGTAAGGGTACTACAGGAAGTCCTAACCGTCCTTTCAGTGAAGTCAGAAGTACTTTTGTTTTCCCCATTAAATGCTCTAACTTAATTTCCCCCTTTTTCCCTCAACCTCCCATCCTAGCTAAAGCTATTTAGGATGGCATCTACAATCAAGTGAGTGAGTTACTCACTTATGCTCTGTCTCTCCCATGTACACAGACAGGATGCATATTATTGGCAGACATTTTTGGGTTTTTTTTCTCTTATCTGTCCGATGCTTATTTGAGTACTTGCCAGTCTAGAGGAACCCAGAAGAAGATGGAATGATTTCTACTGCATCCGGATAAAATGTTAGTCTTTAATGATGCACACCTGAAACTTATAATGCAATGCCATTTCAATTTTTAAAAATTCAAGTATTTTTATTAAAAAAATTAAAAGAATCAAATACTTAGAATTACAAGTTTAGGCCCTCCCTGGTGGCACAAAGGGTTAGGGCACAGCACTGCAAGTTAGCCATAGCTGCATCAGTCTGAGTTTGATCCCCAGCCCTGGAGGTGACCCACTTGGTACAGCAGACCCCTCCTGACCCACCATGGCTCCCCTTAGCATTGTACTTCATAGATCTGTCTGTTCTACTCCCCACTCTATCTCTGGTGAATTCTCTCACTGCCCCTGCACCTCTGGCCTGTACCCCATTCTGTATGCATAAGTAAATAAATCTTAAAAAAAAAAAAAAAGAATTACAAGTTTATACTATTATAAAATATGTAGCAATTATAGTACACAGTATCCATCTTTGAAAAACAATGAAATGAATCCTTTCCGTATATATAAGTCAGGATATTCTGATCCTCTTTACTCTTTAGCCAACTTGAAAATCCTTATATTAGCAATTCCAGTTTAAAATCTAGCTTCACTTGGAAGGCTAAAAAATAAAAAAATAAACTTCAGATTAATCATTTTCCTTAATTACCAGCCTTAGTAGCAAGGAATACCGACATATTCCTAAAATTAAATTCCAACTTAAAGGAATAAAAATTTTCCAGTATTGCCAATATGATTTAAAAAGTATTTTAACAATAATGGTACTAGTACACAATGTTACACCTTCTAATGGACACATTGTTAAATAAGTCATTTTATTTTGTAAGCATATCTTGTAAGAATAGCTTCTATAAATTAGTACAGCATATAACTTAGAATAAGACTGTGGATTTACTTTTCCAAAAAAGGAAAATCACCATTAAGTCAAATAATATGCACCCCTTCCTATAGATACCACAATTTTTTCACCTTTAGAAAGTTCTGAATAGGCAGGACAACTGATAGAAAGAACCAACGAACATCTGAAGTTCAGCCAGTTTTAGGCCTCATGTGAATGAAAACTGACTTTACAGTGAATTTCTTTTAACATATCAAACTTAAAACTATTCTCCATTTTAATTCACTTGTTTGAGAAAAAGTATTAGTGTAACAGATAAAACGGCCCATTATAGTATGTTTGATAGCAATTAATAAATTTATTATTTCAGAATACATATTTTTAAATGTATGAAAAATCTATTTAAGCTGGGTTAGGGTTGAAAGATGACATATTTACATTAAAACACATGTAACTCTGTTGGTAAATATATTTGCAAAATTCACATAATATTTAAAATACAAACAGTATTTTTGAAAACTATTAGAGCCACCAACATTTATAATACAAAAGACTGCATAAATCAGTTTGGAGTAAAAAGGCTTAAATTATTTGAATTGTAAAATGTCTAATCTGATCATGCTGATAACGAAAAATGCACATAACAGCAGAAAAATAGAGGTGACTGTAAGTCATTTCCTGAGTATGGGAACAAGAATAAAGTGAGAAATGTACAAAGTCTAGTTAGCTGCCAGAATTGGGAGGGAGAGTTTGAGGGGAGGATTACATTAGAATTAATTTAACAGGGTTAAGTCAGAGATGTAAGAGGATTGAGTGTGTCATTCCCGTATTAAGAATTAAATGACCAAAACTTTGGCTTCTCTTTCCTTTGATGTGGGACAGTTTTTTTTTTCCCCCACTCTTTGTGAAACTTGAAGATTACGTTTCCCAATGCCCTGTATTTTAACAATTCTGCCAATAGCGCAATTAAATAGGAAAAGTTAGTAGGGGGCAGGGCAATGCAAAAGATACTGGATACGCACCGTGAGACAGGTTACAGTGAACACTGATGTCAGGAGAAATGAACAAGGCAAAACTGAAAGAATGAGCAATGGGCAAGAGGAAAAGAGGGTCCGAAAGAGAATCGTGAGCATGGATCAGAGAAGGGAGCGCAAGCGTGTACCCCCAAGAAGAAAGGAAGTATACCCACAAGAGCAGCTGGCGAGGAGTCGGCCAGTGAGGGCCAGTGAGGGTTCCGAGGACCAGCCCGCCCTCCCGCCCTACTTTTTCCTCCAGTCGGAGAGGCAGCGACCAGTCACCTGGAGTGTGAGTTCCGGAGGGACTCGATCAGGCGCTGCTTCTGCTGTTGGAGGCTGGTGAGGCCACCGGGGGAACCAGCTGCGGAGGAGGAGGCGCTCTTGGTCAGGGGAAAGAGCCAGCTCATCCTCCTCGGGTCCCTGGGCCCAAGGCCCTAGAAGACTTTGGCCTGCTTCTCCCAACAGCTCAGCCCCGCCGTTCTCCAGCGACAGAGGAGCGGGCAGGGACGCCGGGGCCCAAGTGCTGGGGAGCCGCGTCTTCTCTAAGCAAGCCCGGCTGGGGATCCCCGGGCTCTGGGGGGCATGCTATGACTGCGGGTAGCTGGAGAGAGGGAACTTGCCGCCCCGGACAGGCAGTCCTACCTTCACGGCCCTGACGTTCAAACCAGCCTAGTCAGGCAGTCTGAGCGTCCAGCACTCCTTCCAGCCCAGCCTTAGTCACCAACGTGCCCCGCCCCTCCTGCGTGGCCCGTCCCCGGTACGTGTCGCGTCATCATCTAGCGCCCCCGTCTGGACGTGCGAAAGCGACGGCGCAGCACGGTGCGGCGCAGCTCCGGCTCCCCTCTCCCCTTTACTGGTGAGAGGTGTCTATGGGGCGCCCGCTGCCGCCGCCGCTACCGCCACCACCACCGCCGCCGGGTGCTGTCTCTATGGCGAGGAGGAGGAGGAGGAGCGTGAGCTCAGCGACACAAGTAGATCTTGAGTCTGCAGCAGACCTGCGGGGGGAGGGGCGGGCTGGGGAAGTAGGAAGGGGGCGGAAACGGTAAACTTGAGAGGGTGCGCGATGGCGCCAGCTGGAGCGCGGCTGGCGGAGGGAAGAGGCTGCGGGTGGAGAGAGGGGAGGTAGCTGGGACCGTGGTAAGTCACAGGGGTGGGCGCGTAGTGATGACGTGAGGGCTTTGTACCTGGGTCTGCTATGTTGGACGGAAATTGAGAGTGGAGGGCGGTGGCCAAGAGCCTTAGCTCCTTGTATTCTTCCTGCTTTGGGGGTCATTCTGGCCTCTGTAAATGGTTATCAGTGTCCTCACCGGCTTAATGCTAGGGAAGAGACTTATCTATGACTTGAATGTCTCTGTGCTGTTCTCTTGTTTCTTTGGGAGACTGCAGAGATACTCCTCCAATAAAGTGAATGTTTCTGATGCCTCTCCTAGGCTTCTGAAACTGCAGTAGAAAAAGGAGTGGAAGAAAGCATTGTTAAACTACAGGGTCTTTCCAAAGTCTTTGTGTGTTTGTAGCGGATTGGGGAGGATATTACAGGCAGGGTCTCCTGAATCTCCTTTGCTTTCTGCTCTTAAAGCGCTCGAGATTACATTTGTGGCTGCAGTTTAGAAGGTTGAAGGTTCACAAACCCTTCTTTTTCCATGTGTGTTATGATAATTTTTTCAAATGTGTGTGAAAATAAAAGGCCATTCTGAATTTCCCTGCCCCTGAGTCAAAATTCAGGTCTGTACTGTTACTTTATGAAATCTGTGTTTGTAGACCAGAAACATGGTATGTATGTTTAGTAACTAGGGGAAATGATCCGATGTTTAGGAAACCAAAGACAATTTGAAATGCAGGTACTCTTATGTTCTTCTGCAGTTATAGAGATAGAGCAATTTCTGTGGTTATGGTACTGATTTCTCAGAAAGAGCTTTTTTTAAAAAAAAAATTGTCCACTCCAGTCTGGCTTAAATGAGTGTAAGTGGGTTTAACGATTCAAATCAGATTTTAAATGTTCTGTTAGTGAAGAATAAAAGCAAACACTACCTTTGGCCTAGTACATACCTGATTTTGTCAAGTGTTGATCAGTAGCGTTTGACTTTTACTGAAAAAAGACTATTTTTTAAAAGTTTTAAAAATTGTATGTACACCTAAAGGGCACTGTTTTTACATAACACTTATTAGAGCCAGGGAACCTGTTTTGTGGGCTCCCCCCTTTTTTCCCCATTCTGATTACCTGTAAGTTTAGATAACTTTCTAAACTTGGGTTTTCTTAGCAATCAAGTACTTTGAATAGTATCTTAGGTTTCTAGCAACATAGTTATTCGATAATTCAGATTTCTGACATAACTGGTTTTTATTTTGACAGGTACACAAATAAAGGATAAAATATTTTTGAAACAAATCTTGGATCACGTATAACATTTGATGCTTGGCATCTAGACTTCCTTGTGCCCTCACTATGCCAGCAGCAACTGTAGATCATAGCCAAAGAATTTGTGAAGTTTGGGCTTGCAACCTGGATGAAGAGATGAAGAAAATTCGTCAAGTTATTCGAAAATATAATTACGTTGCTATGGTATGCCTGTGTCTATATTGTCTTTTAAAAGGGGAAGAGGGATTTAAAAAGTATTGAGTTCAGCCCTTCTAGTAGTTTTTCTTTTTTTAATTTTAGTGATTAATTCAATTAATGAAAGAAAGTTTTGTTACTGTCTTCAAGTTATATGTAACTTGACAAGTTGGATTTATTACTCATTGCAGTGAGGGAAAATGGCATGCCATCAGGAACCATGATACATTTGAGAGAGAGTATTAAAAAAGACTTTTAGAACTTGGGCTTGTTTCGAGTGATTTTAGGGAGGATTAATGAAACAAGCCTCTGTTCCATATTTGATAGCACCAGAAAGGTGGCATTCTTTGGTGATCAGTTATTGAGTTTTAACTACATGAAAGAGTAGTTAAGTGTAGTATAGTGAGGCTATGGTTATAAAGAAATAACAGTCCCTAATATTAGCCCATAAAAAGTCATTTTTATAGTTTGGACAATGTTTATTTTTTCTTTCTATGTTCAGACATGATTACAGAGAAGTTTTGTCAGATGTTGAAGTATGAAATGACTTATATTCAGCAGTAGAGCATTAAGGCCAAACTGAAGTCCAAGTCAGCTCCCTAGTAACACTAAGCCTTTTTTTTTTTTAATGTTCTTATTACACCACTAAGTCTTTTTTAAATATATATATATATTTATTACACCATCCTTCATTTTGTTAAATACATGATTTTGCTGTGAAATTCCCACCATCAATTCACCTATACACCATCATCATCATCATAGTTCTTTATACTCTTTCCAACCTGTCCTGATCTTTCTCCCTCCTACAAAATGTCATTGATCTATAGTTGCCTAATGATTTTGACTTTTACTTTATCATAGTTTTTTTTTTTCCGGATCCCATATTTTGTTCCTCGTCTAAAAGTGAGACCATTCAATCTTTTTCTTTCTGGCTTATTTCACTGAGCATAATCCCTTCCAATTCCGTCATGTTGCTGTGAATGGCTTGAGTTTATCCTTTATGATTGTTGAGTAATATTCAATTATGTAAATATACATATACCAGTATTTGTTGTTGCTAGTTTTTAAATATGTGCCATTCTCACTGGTGTGAGATGTTATCTCATTTGTAGTTTTGATTTGCATTTCCTTGATTAGGAGTGATGTTGAACATTTTTTCATATGTGTAATGGTCATTTGCATTTCTTCTTTGGAGAAGTGTCTTTAGCTCTTTGCCCATTTTTTGACTGGGTTGTTTGTTTTTGCTGAGCCTTCTTAGCTTCTTAGCTCTTTGTAGATCTTTGTAAGCAGTCCCTTATCATTAGTATTGTGTGCAAAAATTTTCTACCAAACACAGAAATTCAGATCTTCCAGTGAGTCATTGTTGAACTGCAGTTTTATATTTTATTGCCACTTGAATTCTGTGAATACTACTTTTAAACAGCTCTGCTTTTGTGTATGTTATTCAGTCTGCCTCGACTGTGTACTTAATTATTTTGTTTCTTTACTACAATATCTTGTACAACTGTTAGAGTATGTGTTGTCTAGATTATTAGTTCTGTGAAGCAGTGGGTTAAGGTAAAATTTATTTAAACACCAACCTCCAAATTTCTACAGCTAGAGATTATTGTTAAAAATGTCATGCTATCCACTCATTTCTGCACAATTACTTCTCTAATCTTGTTGGCCATTAAGTGTCTTAATGATCCTTTTTCCTCCCAACACATAGCGTAGCACATAACATCCAATAAGGTAAGTTGTTAAATTTTACTACCTTTAGAAATTTCTTTACTGTTTTCTAGTGACTTGGTATTTAGTTTTCTTCTTAACTAGTCCTCATTTGAATGCTGAACATTAAACTGATAAATCATTTTCTAAGTGTTTTTTCACTAAATTTTTCATTTACATATTTACATAACTTTGAAATTACATTTTTAATCCATAAGTACTTGTGTTGCACTCACCTTGTACAAACCTCAAGTGTCAATACCCTGTCCCCTTCCTTTTCCTGCCCTCTATTTCTCCTCCCCACTTTTCCTTTGATAACTAATAAAATTTCAGAATTTTTAATATAAATAAATAAATTTGCTTGGGGGAGTCAAAGTGACTGGTTAAAATTTGAATATTAAAATGTGTGTATAATGTAGTGAATAAAGGTACTTACCCATAATTAGGGTTGAATTTTTTTGTTAATCAGTAGAAATTTATAGTGGTCATTTATTTCTCAGATGATAAGACCAGCAAGATTAGAGAAGTAATTGTGCAGAAATGAGTGGATAGCATGCCATTTTTAACAACATGCTCTAGCTGTAGAAATTGGAGGTTTAAATAAATTTTATCTTAGAGAAGTAATGAGAAATGCAATCCATTTTCCATTCTTTTAAACCAGTTCTTTAGGGGACTTGGTTTTAACATTAGAATATTGCAGCACAATTGTGTATACAGAAGAGGAAGAGGAATTTATGATTCCTCTTCCCCTTCCTTGTAAAGAGTATTTGGTTACATTTATCATATATGTATACACAGTAATTTGTTAATTAGTATATTCAAAGTAAGGGGGAAAAAACAGCTTTAGGGTTCTAAAAAGTAAATATTTTTCCCAATTTAAAGGATTTTTTAATTTGTTGTTCATTTGTATACAGTATCATTTTAATGGGATTCTTTGATCTGTGTCACTAATTGTCCTAGGAATTTGTGCATGGTGGTTATGACAATTTAGTAAATAATTTTAAAACTGTTTTACAGGACACAGAATTTCCAGGTGTGGTTGCAAGACCCATTGGTGAATTCAGGAGCAATGCTGACTATCAGTACCAACTACTGCGGTGTAATGTAGACTTGTTAAAGATTATTCAGCTAGGACTGACATTTATGAATGAGCAAGGAGAATACCCTCCAGGAACTTCAACTTGGCAGTTTAATTTTAAGTTTAATTTGACGTAAGTGAGAAATATAACCCAAACATTTTTTATTTTTAAGTTTAATTTTAGAAATTGAGTTCCTCATGTATAATGACTCAGATTTGCACTGAATTTGGTATAGTTTTCTTGGAAATATATAAAACCTAAAAATTACTGTAGATTTTATAAAAGTGGCAATGATGGTTTTCAAAAAAAGATTGACATTTGCAGAATTTGAATTTAAGTCATTTTTATCCTAAAATTTTTGATTCCATAATAAAAAGAAAACATGACCTTTAAAATTTGAAATGGACTATAAATTGGGGAAATAAAATGTTTAATACATTTAAGTATGTTGCAGCATTGCACTGTCTTTTCTGTTTGACAGTCTTGTATACTATAATCTAACAACTGATTTGAAAAATAGTAAAAGAAGCCATGGTATAATTAATGGTAGTGCCTCTGTAGAGTAATGTGAAATTAAGTTTATAATCTAAGGAAAAGCAGGACTGGTGACTTTAAAGGGTTGTGTTGTTAGTGGGGCAGCTGTATGGCATATGATGGTGTCTTACTTATCCTGTTGAGTATTCAGAACCTTATAAAGGGTAAAATTTACTCATATGTTCAAATTGATGATAACTTTAGCTCTAAAATAAAGGTTGCTTTTTATCCTTTTCCCAAAAGATAAACCTTTTTAAATTAGTTATTTACCATTTACCATCTTACTTGTCTTATGTTACTTTTTTCCCAATGTTTCCATTAGAACATTGTTTTGTTTTCAACTGAGATATTTTTCTAATCTCCCATAAATAGGAGGTGACCTATCAGTGTCTCAGTTTTTGATCAAATCTGTTTCCTTTTCGAGGAACATACCTGTTCTAGGAACAATTGCTTTATTATTATCATCACTGAAAGACATTTTTTTCCTTATACAGGGAGGGTGATTATAGTTTACTACCAAATTTTGCTACCATTGATACTAATGTTAATGTCTTGGGAGATTTTAAGGAGATAATGGAAAATTCTGCTTAAATAGAAAAGTCAGTTGGAAGGTAAACCTGTACTACCTAGGGTTCTCCCTGGTGGCACAACAGGTTAAAAGCACAGCACTATGAAGCTGTCCTCAGACACTTCAGCATGAGCTTGATCCCCAGCTGGAAAGCTGACCCCATGGCGTGGTAGACCTCTCCTGGCCTGCCCTCTGCTCACCTCAGCAGTGTACTTCATCAGTCTGCTTGTTCTTCTCCCCACTTTGTCTCTGGTGAATCCTCTCAGCCCCTGCACCTCTGGTCTGTATGCCAGTTCTGTGTGAATGAATAAATAAATCTTTAAAAATAAAAATAAAAAATTGTACTACCTAATTGTGGAGGCAGAATGGTGGATGTTTTGAAAGATGAAAGTTGACTTTATTAATTGAGTACCTAAAATAAATGTGGGAGGCACCAGGAATGCTGTGTTGAGGAAAACTGGACATAGTCATTATGACTTAGTGTCCTATAGCTCTTCTATATGCCCCTATTGCCAGAGGCCCAGAATTAGAATTTTTAGTTACCGATTCCAGCATATATAGATTCTTTTCAAAATGATTTTGAGTTGATTTTGAAAATGGAAATTGACAGACTGTGAAGAAATTTGAACAGAACTCCACAGGTCAGAGGAGGAAAGATGAATTTTTGAGAGTTAGAATCACCTGTTTTGATGATTGTAGTAATTTTTGATATTTGAGAGAATTGTTTTAATAGGATAGTAGAGATTACAGGTGATCATGGATTCAGTGGTAACAGAAAGGGAGTTGATTACTTCATTAAAGGAAAATGGCAATCAGAAGAAAATAGATGGTATTATTATAAGTAGAGGGATAATAGAATCAAACATGAATGGTTTTATATTTCAGAGAGAATGTGAGGTATATGAAAATTAAGGAGCTATTGTCAGTTATAGAATTTGAATTTGCAGGGTGTCAAAAAGTGGGTGTATACCTGACAAGAAATGATGTGGAATACCATCTGTGACATTGGTAGTGAGTAGGTTTGTTGATGAAGAAAGTTAAACTTGAATCTAAAAGAATAAGACCATAAGATGGGTAGATATAACCTGCTGATAACCTGCTGTTTCTTTGTAAAGCAGTTGTATATTGATGTATGTTCAAAGTGTTTTAGAAGAAGAGGTGTGAAACTTACTAACATCTAATGCCCAGGAGTTAGTAAGATAAGAGTAATAAGAGACAAACCACGCTGACCTATGGCTGGACTATAATTAATCATCTAAATTTTTAATAAACAACTACATCTTTACTATTTTCTCCCAGCTGTGCTTAAGAGTAGGTGAAAATTGGGCGAGGGGGAGACATCAGGGCATAGTTAGAAGGGGAGTTGATGGATAATCCAGGAATAATGTGTATGAGAAATATAAAGGTGAGAAAAAGAATAATAGAGGAAGGAACAAAGAGGCTAGAATGGTTAATGCAGTGAGGAAAGTGAAAGAAGATAAATTTTTGATAGAGTTATAGGGTGTCACATAGTATTTTTTTTTTTCTGAGAAGAACTGGGGTGAGGGTGGACTCATCAGAGACAGAGTGCGTAGCAGAACAGGCAGATCTACTTAAATATACTGCTGAGGGGAAGCATTGGAACAATTGGACCCAAATCTACTCTCGCTTGCATTGTAAATGTGATGGGAGAATAAGTTTGTTTGAAGTATGACACTTTTGAAAGTTTTCTTTTTTTTGTCTCCTGCCAGGGAGGACATGTATGCCCAAGATTCCATAGAGCTGCTAACAACATCTGGTATCCAGTTTAAAAAACATGAGGAGGAAGGAATTGAAACTCAGTACTTTGCAGAACTTCTTATGACTTCAGGAGTTGTCCTTTGTGAAGGAGTCAAATGGTTATCATTTCATAGGTAAAATGACTGCATTGAAAATGACATTTGTGTTAACATCGAACTGCTTCACACTTCACAGTACACTTGGGTCTGTGTATCATAAATTTCAGGTCTGGTTATGCAGTGAATGGCCGCCATATAATGTCTCCTTAGCAAGCTTATGTTTGCCTGCTTTAGAGTTAATTTAATAATAAGGGGTCCACCTAGCCTCTGAGAGCAGTCTTAACATAGTGGAAAGAGAACAGGCTGGAAAAATAGACATTGGATTAAATCCAGCAATGCTATTTGGAATCTGTGTTACCTATGCTTATATAATATTTTTACCCCTTATAAATAGAAGCCCTTTGTAAATTTTAAAATATTTATATATGAACTCGATCAAGCTTTGTAATGCAATTCTTAGTATTAAAATTAACAAAACCCTTGTTCTCATAGTATTTGCATTCTAGTAGCAGTGAGCAGTTTTAATAAATGGGGAACTTTATAGTGGGTTTGTTAGTGGTGAGTGCTAAGGAGAAAAAGAAAGACTTATATGGATTGGTGGGGGTGGGGCAAATGGATTTTGATGTTTATAAGTAGTTTTTTGTAAATTTATAAGTGGGAAGACATCACTTAGAAGAAATACACTGTAGAATTGTTATAGTGGCCAGTAAAATGCTTGAGGAAAAGTAAAGTCTCAATAACTGGTCATTTTAAACTCTTTGTTTAACAAAAGTTGATTGTTGAAGAAAATTTCTAGATGGGAAGTTACTTCCATTTGGTAAAAGTAGACTTCCAGGATAGAAAGTGTTCTTGTTTCAGTACAATTAAACCGGCAGGCCAGGAACTAAAAGTAGCCTCTGGAAGATTTTGTTTGGCCTTTTGTTTGTGAAAGCACTGTATTTTATGCAAGTGCTAATGTTTTTATACTTCGTCCAATTCACGCATTTAAAAAAGGTGTCTTCATGCTTTAGAATTTCTCGCTTTGACCTGTAGAATGATTATAGTAAAAGACTGTTCATACTGTAAACTTTGATGTAGTACTAAACAGTAATTTTTTATTTGAAAATACTGACCATACGAATTCTTGCCTGTCCTCTCCATTTGAGCCTGTATCTCAGGAGCAAGACTTAAAGCTTAAGGCTCTGTTAATTTGAGAAACTCTATTTTGAGTTCTTTTTTCTTTTCCTGGTCATCAGAATAACGAAGGATAACAAAGGATTGGTCTTTCTGTCAAAGACCAGTCTCTCCAATTTATAAATCAATTTATAAATCTTAAACTAAATTATAAACTTATTTTTTCTAGTGCTGTATTGATTTATATGTTTTGTAGGCAGCAAAGCTACTTCCTTGCCAACCGCCAGAAATTTAGATAGTCCTTAATGATCTCCAATGGCAAGCTTTCTTTTTTCCTTTTGAGTTCCTCTATCTGCAGAGAGGATTTTTTTAAGATTTCTAAAAAATGAAATTCCTGCCCTACTTATAAATTTATCAATTTCTTATAAATTACTTATAAACTACAGGAGAAAACAGTATTTGTTTCATAGTATAAGGTATCTCTGGAAACTGGGCTCTTTAGAGAAGGGATCTCGTAAGGCTTTCAGCAAGGAGGAGTGTGTATAATTGCGCACATGAATGTAGGAAGAGAGACAGCTGTGGAAAAGTCAAATAATGGGGATTGGAGGTCTTGATTTGAGAGTATAGGAGTTTATATTTTATACTTCCGACAGTAGTATTTCTCAGCCTTTATTACTCTCTTCACTTTCATAATATGCAACATTCCTATATTACTTCTTAAGGAGCCATAATGAGATAAGCACAGAATTTTGAGAGAAGAAAGTACATACTTATTAATAAAATCACCTAAGGAAAGTGAAAATATGATCAGGGAGTTATTCTTTGAATTTCAAGGTAGATGACATTTTTACTAATACTCTTTCTTCCATTGGACTTTTTTAGCCAAGTTTCCATTTATCTTTGTTTTCTGTTTCCATATTTATTTAAAGTGTTCTCTATGAAGGATCAGCAAAACTGTTTAGTACTACAGACTTGGGTGGTATTATCCACATAATGGTATTTCTGCATGATAAAGTAACAAGACCTTAGCACTGTAAAGGGATGGTAATTTCTACTATCAATGCATAATGAGTATAGATGTGTTTTTCTCTTCTGTGTATTTTTAAAGAGCAAGAATCTGTCTCTTTTTTTGGGCTGATTCCTTTTATACCTACAGTGTGACTCAAAATACATAGTAGAAAACGTAATTTTCATCTCTTGGATTTATGTGCCCTCCTTATGTTAATTTTTCCACAGTGGTTATGACTTTGGCTATTTAATCAAAATCCTGACCAACTCTAACTTGCCTGAAGAAGAACTTGACTTCTTTGAGATCCTTCGATTATTTTTTCCTGTCATTTATGATGTGAAGTACCTCATGAAGAGCTGCAAAAATCTCAAAGTAAGTAGCTTATCTGTTATCAGTACACTGTTCAGACTTACTGACTGACATAGATGATCCTAGGTTGGGATTTGATTTAAACCTTGTTTTTTAAGTTTTCTATTAAATGCAATAATTTTTTTCTGAGCATCACGTTATTCATTCCCCTTGAATGAATAGTAATTGGAAAACCCTTTTCAAAGTGTTAATATATTTTGACTGAATTAAATTTTCAGTAAAACTCAAACAAGGGATTTGATTTTTGTCATTACTTGCCAGATCAACAATCATAAACCAGCATAGAAATGTGAGCCCTAGTGAGGCTATTATCACAATAGTGAAAGTTTCTCGCTCTTCAAACACACATCATCTGTCAGAACAAGATCAAATCTAAATTGGCTAGCACCATGCCGCCATGTGGCAAAAGAACTCCCCTTTCAGTATATTTTGCCTAGAGATTATTTTTTCTAGTCATGGGATCATATTCCTAAAACTACTAAGCTAGAAAGGTTTTGGATATGGAGGGTGAGGGGGCAGGTTATGATGTCAGTTTATTAATAGTGTCTAGGTCTTGTCTAAAGAGTAGTTTACATTCTGATTCTGCTAATGTCTGAAATTAATTCTTTCAAAAGGAAAGTTTCTTTACTAAGGAAAAATGCTTCATCAGTTTGAGAATGAATTTACCTATGGTGGCACACAGTGATTTTATTTTTGCAGTGTATGTTTGGATTTTAAACTGCAAATAAAATATATAGGTAAACTGGTTTCTTCATAGACATTGACAGTACATCAAAGTTGGGCAAATTTAGAAATGCAAGTAAACTTTTAGGAGGTGGTACACACCTTAAGTGCTTTACTTTTAAGCAGAAAGAAATAGGAATTAAACAGTTTTTGACATTATAAAAGAAGCAGTCTTTGGGCCTCATTGTATGAGGCAGCATATAACAAGGTAATTTTAAAGAATGATTGCTTCTTACTTGTTGCACTTTAGAGCAGCAAGATCCTGGGCAATTTATGGAGATTTCTAGCTGTTACTCTGGTGAACAAGTCAGATATCCTTACAATAGACTCACTTGGCTCCCTGCTAAGAATCTAAGGACTAAATGTTTACTTCTGATTTTGGAAATGCTTTTAAAAATTAGGCATGTCTATACAATGACAGTTTGGGGCACAGAGAACCAAAGAATTGTTACTTATATTATTGGAAAAGTTTCAAGTATATCATGTATTTCTTGATTAGCTTTTATGTTGAAATTTAGGTTAATGACAAAAGGTAGTTTTGACCTAGACTCAACCAAATTGAATAATCCTGTTCATTGCTCTTAAGCTGCTGGAAAGGAAACTAATCCTCACTCCATTTTTAGCATAGAAGCAACTGTTGTGCTGTTTCCAGCTGTGATATAGGGAAGGGCTAGTTTGGGCTAAGGCCTTAACAATTCAGAGGGAAATTTCTTAATTTTTGTTTTTGTTCTTGGTCTAATGTTTATTTTAGCTTTCTTTTTCTCCCCTCATGCCCACCTTCCCTTTGCCTCCATTTCTCCTCTTTCCTTTCCTTCCTTGTTTCTTTTTTATCTTAATAATTCATTCTTAACTTCTTTTTTAACCCTAACAATATTGACGTAGCTTTTTAGCAGACCCTCTAAGAAGTTGTACTCTTAAAAACATTCTTTTTTTTTAAACCAATGGAAGCATAGTTAAGCACTTAGTGAATTTATGATTTAATTTGTTATTCATAGTAGGTTTTTTTTTTTTTCCTAAACTTATTTAGCTGTGGATTGGCCAGAGCTCAGGGAAACTTGACAGTTACTGCTGGCAGTTTTTTCATAATCACTCTATCAGCTGACTTTGATGAATAATACCCTGTATACCTGTTACTTTGTTATGATCTGCTTCCCCCATATCTAAAAAATTTATTTGTCATACATGTGCTGTAAAGTATGTATATATGATGAGTTGAATTTTCCGAGCTAAGATCCCAGTTAGGATTTCTGTTAAAAACTTCTTTTAAATTGAATATCATGGAGTAGTAATTCACATTCTCTGTTTATTCCCAATTTCATTAGGTCCATTTTGTATACTAAAGGTTGTTTTTATTTTGGTCAGTGTCATAAGGTATGTAATTTATGACTTCAGGCATTGCACTGTTTTTCTCTTGACAGGCAATTTTTGTTTCTTCTAGGGTGGTTTACAGGAAGTTGCTGAACAGTTAGAGCTGGAACGGATAGGACCACAGCATCAGGCAGGATCTGATTCCTTGCTCACAGGAATGGCCTTTTTCAAAATGAGAGAAGTATGAAGACATCACTGCCTTTTTCTCGGTTGTTAGGTTGAGAACATTTAATATCTTATGACAACAGTTTTTGAGAATAAGTACTTTTTAGGTAAAGAAATAATTAGAAGTACTATACAAATCATATTCACTACATTTAAGTGAAAATAGTAAAAAAAAAGTCATTGTGAAATCTAGTTGAAAGGGAAATGAAAAAATAGAATCTTCATAAACTAAAAACTCAAATGATCATACTCCTTTAGAAATCTTAAGGTCCAACAACATTTTATTTCTTGGATGAGAAAACTGAGGCCAGAGCCTAGTAACTTACCCAAAATAATTATTAGTGGAGAACCCCAGACTTCTTCCTATTGACTACATCAGTACTGCTTCTACCAAGTGAAGAAAGCTATGTGAAGTTTGTTTGACATGGTCAGCTCTTAGGCATGAAATCACCAGTAACAGTACGGTTTATTTATGCACTTCTTTTGTATTTTGAGGATTTACAGGGTGGAACTTAGGTTTTTTGGTAGATTGAGTCTTACAAAGAAATTTCGAATTCTAAAGAGGTTACAACTGAGTAGTTGAATCAAAAATCATAATGAGCAGACTCTTCATAAGGGACAGAAGGAAAGACCAGCTGCTCTGAGGCAGAAAATTTAGTTACAATTTAATGAACTCAAGTCTACTCTTAGGTTACAGGATTAAGTGATATACTATAGGTAAATGCAAAGAAAAGAACCTTGTTTATAAAAATTTCCCTTTTTGAAGAGTCTGTCCTCTTCCACAGTAAAAAGTTGACTGAGAATTTAAAATTTTATAGAATTAATTAATAATAGAAAGCATAAATAGCTGTTTTGCCAAGTGGTACTGATTTTGAAATGAGTTAGACTATCTCATCATGCATAGATATTTTGTTTTGAACCTCTTCCCAGTGCTACATTAGAAAATTAAAACCTGTGGGTTTTCAGCCCTTCATTTAAAAAAATTCCACTATAGTTCAAACAATGGTGGCTTCTGTGCTATTAATTTGTTATCTTTATTTTCTTGGCTTCTCCAGTGATTGTGACTGAGTATGAATGTTTTGCTGTCCAGAACATATTTAGGTTCTGAGTGTTGTTGCCAATTCAACGGTGTACATAGACACAAGGCTATATATATGCCTAAACTTTGCCCACCGCAACCACCATCATTGGCTATTTGCATTCATTGTTTAATAAATTAATGGAATGAAATTTTTGCCATATTTCCATAACTACAAGTTCTCATGAATGATAGTAGGAAAGATGTACATTTATCCATTTTCTGTGATCTTTTTTCTTTGGAGCTCTATACTTCCTGAGAATCAGTGTTATTCATTGAATTTAAGTGTGTGACCGTAAAGGGACACCATAGAAAAGGGCTGTCATTATAGTGAATGAACAGTCAGTAATTACATATAAATGACCAGTGGTTCCTTTTGGTTAAAATTATCTTCTTTTTCCCCCCCCAAATTCCTTTTTAGATGTTCTTTGAAGATCATATTGATGATGCCAAATATTGTGGTCATTTGTATGGCCTTGGTTCTGGTTCATCCTATGTACAGAATGGCACAGGGAATGCATATGAAGAGGAAGCCAACAAGCAGTCATGACATGAAATAGTCCTTTTATTTTTATTTTGAGATGCACACATGCTTGTATATAGGTTTTATCTCCGGTTGAATCCCTTGAACAATAGACAATACTTTTTTTTTTCATAGCCCATTTTACTTAGTATGATCATTCCCATCTCAGCTCTTTAATAAATAGAAAAACATTCAGGTTAAATTTGGCCTTAATATACTTGTTAACAGGCGTGTGTGTGACAGAGAGTGGGAAAAGTTAATGCCGTACTGATATTTTGATAAACTTTACCTACCTGAACTTGGTTTGTCCCCTTTCCTAAATTAACTAGCACTGACTGTAATTTATTTCCTATTTCATGTCTCCCTTCCATTCTACGAGGAGTTTTAGCTATTTGAGATTGTGGACCATCAATTTTGCACTTTAGAGAGTGATTCTGACTCATATCCTCTGTTTTATTAGAAAGTTTGGATTTTCTTGCTCTTAGCTGGAAAAAAATCACCATCTACCAAGTTAATACAGTATTTACTTATTTTTGACCCATAGAATATAGCACCATGCATCGTGCAGACGGTTGATTCAGCAAGACTACAAAAAGACAAAAACTACTGAGGAACTTAGTGACTGCTGTTTCTATACGTAGTAATCTTCCAAGCACATATAGTGTCTGTCAGTTTCTGTTGGCGTGTGTAGGCTGCTCTGACTGAAAAGTTTTTCGAACCAGTTTTACACCCTTCAGGAGAACCCCTTGTGATTGGATGTGTAGTACCTGCCAGAAAACTGGTATCCACGATATTGAAGCTGCATTTATTTTATGACAGCACACTTCCCTTGATCTGCATCTTTTATTCCATCACTGTTTATCCTTATTTTAATTTTTTTTATTTTATAGCCATACTTAACAATGCTCTTGATTTGTTGATTCCACAAATCAATTTCATTAAAGTCCAAAGATAGCAAGTCTTTAAGTATATTTTGTACCAAATTTAAAGGCAAAAAATTGTTTCATAGTTGTTACTAAATGATGGAGCAATTTGGTGCAAAACAACAAAATACAAAAAATATATAGATATATAAGCAATATATATGTATATGTTAGCCACACATACACATAAACCTAATAGTTACCTGAGGAGTGTAATGCTTGTTTATTTTTTTGTGTATATCTTTGCAATCTATTTTATATATATTGACAAAAGAGACTGTGAAATATTTAGCCATGCAGAATAAGTGACCAGACCACAGCATGTGTAGGAAGACTATTTGGTGATCATTAACTACCCTGAAATGATGGACTGCAAGTTATGATGTGTGTTATCTACACTTCAATCAGTAATACTAGAAAATCCCCAAATGTTAGCCACATTGGTTTGTTTCTCTTGTACATTTATTCATGATATCATAATGCTGTAATTGGGTGGTCCTTTTTAAACAAAATATTATTTGCAAAACAGAGGGTATTATTTGTTTTTAAAGCGTTTGTAAATAAAGGCTTCAGAAATGTTTTCATATATATGTTGATGACTGGTAATTTGTTTTAGAAATAGTTATTTGGGGTATGTTTCTTATTTTGTACAACTGAAAAACTGACTTCATTAACTTATAATTATTAGTCTTTTAATTGAAAAATCATTTGAGCCTTTTGCATTTTTACAGTGTTGGCCTATTCTTTATGAATACCTCAATTAGATAGTAAGAATTTTTTTCTATCCTTTTCAGAATCACTTATCCTGACTTAGAAAGTAAATGCATTTGGTATAACTTACTGTGGTTCTTTGATACATCTAGCAGATACCTAGAGGTTTCTTTTTATTTTAATCTTTACCTACTTTAAAATATAGAAATTTTGCCTTTTCAATAGTTGCATAGTTGCTGAATTTCATACCTTGTATTAATATTTGTTGTGTCTTTAATATTTTATAACTTCTATAAAAGCAACAGTCTGACTTTTACTAAATTTAGCTTTCTGATCTAAGATACTAGGCTGATAATTTTTTAGTGTTCCTGAGCCATTAATTCTTGACTCACCACATACGGTTAAATCTGCTAGAGCAAGAATCAGCAAACTACGGCCTATAGGCTAAAATCAGCCTGCTGTCTTTTTATGGCCAATGAGATGAGAATGGTTTTTACAGTTTTAAAATGGCTGGGGGGAGAAACAATATTTCCTGATGTGAAAATTATATGAAATTAAAATTTCAGTGTTCATAAATAAAGTTTTACTGGAATGCAGTCCCACTCACTCATGTATTGTCTGACTACTTTGTACTCCCGTGATCAAGTCGAGTAGCTGCTGTAGAAATCGCCGGTGTCACTTTTATCTCACCTTGCTCGTGTGCTGCATCACCAGTCATGCAGATTCAGGTTAATGGTACTTAGTGTGTCCTGTCTACCACAAATGTGGATTTTTTTTTCTGTTACCAGATCATAGCCATTATGTCAAAACAAAAGTATACTCTGATGTGCTTTAAGGTGCATAGTAGCAATGGATTGTCATTGTGACACTTAACTATATGGTAAAGTAATGGTTTATCATCCAATGACAGTTGTGCTTAAAAGTGATAAATATATGTTGACAAAGACTAAACATAATATTTCCAATTTATGGAAAATAATGTTCAGAATTTGGAAATCAGAATATTATTTCATTACAGTGTAACTACAAAACTGAAAATTGAAAGTGAGGCGGTAACCAGAATATGGTTATGAGTGGCCTGTTTGTTAGCCAACCAAAACCATTTTTTTTTTTTAAAGATTTATTTATTTGTGCGTACAGAACTGGGGTACAGGCCAGAGACTCAGGGGTGGTGAAAGACTTCACCAGAGACAGAGTGGGGAGCAGAACAGACAGATAGACGAAGTACACTGCTGAGGGGAGCAGCCGGTGGGTCAGGAGAGGTCTGCCACACCATGTGGTCACCTCCGGGGCAGGCAGGAATCGAACTCATGCGGAAGTGGTTTCATCTTCTTAGTGCAGTGCTTTAACCGGCTGTGCCACCAGGGAGGTCCAAAAAACCATTTTTTAATGTACTATGGTGGGTTAGTATTTTTTAATGTAACAGCCCAAAGGAATGTGTCCAGAGAATGAAGTTAAGCCTATCATTTTTTGATAAGAACAACTGAATGAGGGCATAGGAAGAACATCAACAGTTTAATTAAGAAATGATTTTGAGTGGCTTTTTGGTTCTGTGAATCAAATGCTATTAGTATCGCCAACTGTTGTTTTTGTTTATTTAAAGAAATCAATGCTGAGCTGGCAGTGATTGAGCAATTTGTTTCCATTAACCATCTGTGTGAAACAACTACAGGGAGAATATTTTCAAAGGGAAGAAGCCACCAGGTCGGTACAGTGTGTAGTGGAATCCACCTAAATGTGTTACTACTGACAATGGTTTAAATTCACAAAGCAGAAAAAGTTTTAGTTGATAAAATTTAAAAGCTTGTGAAAATATAAGGCAAGAACCTATTTCACTTGTCTCAGATATGCCTCTTGTTTTCTAAACAAGGACTAACTTTCTTCATTGATGATGGCGTCTTATGTCACTACAAAGACCATGTAGAAAGAGTAAACAAAAATTTATACGTCAGCTATATGTACATAAACAGATTTTGCTTGAGTTTTTATAGCAGTCCTTGTTTAAAGAACTTTTATGTTTGCTTGTTACACCAAAGTGTTAATTTTTTTTATATTCAACTCATGAATAATTGGGTCATATAAGATGCTTTTAATGTTAGGTTTTAAGAGACTACACAAAAGACATGAAACTTAATAGTCTTGCTTTTATAATTGGATTAAAAACAACTAAAGTTTTCTGTGATATCAGTTCTTAATTCAGCACTAACAGTTCAATTGTAGGGCATTATGTTTTTTCTTTGAATTTAATTAATCACCTTTATCCTCCAAAAAAGCTACTGAGTATTAATACATGTCAGATTTGAGCTCCTTATGTTGTTAATCCTTCCCTTGAAGATGCAATATTAATCATAGATTGTTTTCATAAGTCATATACTACTACTGTCCTTTCATAGTAATGAGCTCTATAAAAATAGAGCTAAAAAGCACTTGTCAAAGGACCCCCCACTCCCACCCCTTTGGTTTGTTACTCAGAAACCAGCTCAAATTGATTACTCCTGACTCCCCCCCCCCCACTTATTACCCAATTGAAAATTAAAGTAATGCTAACTGAATACTGGCTTTGAACATCACGGATCTGTCTTTGGGCACTGTTACCAGTTTTTGCTATTATTTTCCTACAGTAAGGACTGCAAGTAACTTCACGTTATCTCTTCCTGGCATCATCCAGGTTATCTTATATGAACTTATTGGTGTAAGAACAAATGTGTTAAGAGGTTGAGCTAGATATTTGGACTAAGTTCTTTACTCTCGTTTGAGCATATAAAAATCATGGTTATTTCAGAGACTTATACTGAACACACTGCTGGGAAATACTTAATAGTTTTTGAGCCACAGGTCATTCCTTTAAAACAAGCTATTTGGATTAATGCCAGATGACCACTCTGAGCAAGTCAGGTCACCACAGTAAAAGAATGAATCCATCGTGCAAAAAGGAAAATACAGTTTGGATTTGAATGTTGTGTGTGCCCGTGCATGAGTGTGTGTGTAGAGTTGGGTTTGGTTTTTTTTTGGCACCATTATAAAAGATTTTGCTATGTCAAAAGATTCTAAAATCAAGTGAGGAAACAATTTTGAAATCAAGACTTCTCTAGTGTTGGTATGTATTTAATACTTAATAGTGACAAGAAAATTGCAAAGAATTTGCAATCTGAATTTTCACCAATACAAAGTTAAAAAATGTTAGTGATATCTGTGTAAAGAGAAACACATACTTTAGTCTATAGCATGGTCTGCTTGTGAAAGGAAATTTGTTCTAAACTGGCTAAGTATGTTAAAGGAGTGCAGGCTAAATTTGGAATTAAGCCAAGTAGTATTCAAGCAGTTCTCTAAAGAAGGATCTTACAGACAAGATTATTTGTGAAAACCTGTTGTTGAGATGTCACTTTGGACAAGAATTTTTGCAGTTAAGTCAATTTGCCAGCTGTGAAGGTGAGTGGAATGGTGGTTCTAGAAGATACCACATCATGGCTTACAGTGTACATGGGTTTGCACTGACCTTTAATGTGGTTTGTATATGGGTTGTGGGGTGTTTTTATTCATACAAATACCACAGCCATTATAAGTACTGGATAAAATAATAAGTGTATACCAAAGTATATAGTTTAACTTCAGAATCAGTGCAGCGAGCTTATGTATTTCAAGATAGGGAAAACTGGTCCGTAGCGCAGTCATGTTTACTGCTTAATATTTTATAAACTTGGTTAATAAATATGTTGTATTATTTCCCTAGAGAAGCGAGTTCTTTGGTCAAGCAACATTTTCCAACAGATTTCTGCTGGGTATAGTATATTCAGTTTTATAGTCTTTCTAGTAGCACTCAAAAATATTTAACTACTGTGTAATTACCCTATTACCTCATCCACCTTTTCTTAAAAGACTCTTAGAACCAGGTTGTAGATAAGAATTTAGCCTGTACTCTCTGGCAGACTATTAGGAAAAATACCTCTTTAAAGCAAGCTGGATAGAGCAAAGGCAATTTCATAAAACAGCTAATAAATGGGATAAACCAGACTTTATTTTGGTGTAATAGGGTGTTAGCGAGTAACCACTTCCTGGAGTGTCTCACTGTATTGAGATGCAATTTTTCTTCATCTTTGAAAAAGAAAATTCTTTGCACATGGGAAATAGTTAACTAACGTATATGAAGCATTTGTACAATATTTTTAAATGAAAATTTCTTAAATGAATATTACTAGTTTAATGCACTAGTCAGGACAGCTGAAGTATAGTAGTCTTCAAGTTTGAATTCAATAAGGTTTTTTAAAGTAAATTGTTTTTAAAAATATTTTATAAATATACACAAAATGTAGGTCTCTGATGCTTTACCCACAAAGATACTGCTTATCTAATGAAATTTCATCTCTAAAAACAAGTTCAGAACAAATTAAAAATAAAAAAACATTACATTATTCACTGCATGAAGACAAAAGGGAATCACTGCAACTCAGTGGGAAAGAATTTATTTTTCAAAAAGCTTTTCAAATATGGTTCTAATGTGTATTGACTTACGTATCTTAATCACATGAAACACCTTAAAGGGGAAAAATTAACAGTACTCTAACAAGCTAAAGAATAAAACCCAACCCCTTTTGTCTCCTAGCTTCTAGTTTAAAAGGGAATACTTGACAGAACCCAGTCTGCAAAAACAGCTACAATGCTGTGCTTTGAAAAAAAAAATTGCTGCATATAACTCAATATATCACATGATGCTTTTGCCTTTAAGACTTCTAGCAGTAGCTATAAGTTCCAACCTGGCACTTCAGGTAATGAAAAATGACCAAAAAGTGTTTTAAGAAAGAAAAAAAAATGTAAAAATGTATTATCTGAGAGTTCTTGAAACAGATTGTCAGATCGAAATGTTTAGCTTTAAAAAAAATCTGAAAGACTCACTGTTCAAAGATGTGTACTCAATCTATAAAATGGACAAAGCTAATATTGGTTCTTTGATTAACTCATATAAAAACCTTCATAGTATAAGTAATTGCAAGGATCTTTCACTTCAAGTATCATTCCTTTATCCGCTAACTAGTTTATGTTGAATTTTTGTCTTAGATTTCAAAAAGTTTAATACCATTTCTCTTTGATTAAATACCAGTTCCTAAACGTTGTAGTTTTAAAAGGTAATTTCCTTAAAATCTCAAAATCAGTAACAAAAATTGCAGTTTATTCTAACTGCTAACATTTATAAAACAGTCAAACTAAAAAATAAAACTTTTTAAAATAGTGCATACAAGGCACAAGAGCTTCTTAGTATATTTACTGAAGCCAGATATTTTGGCATCAACAAACACCATTTTAGTTTATCTGAAACTCAATTTCCAGGCAGCGTACCATTTAGTTCACATTGAACTAAATTTCCAAACATGATTTTTGTTTAATGGTTTGCATGATTTACTCTTAGTAGGTATTTGAGGACACATAGTTTAACTGTCATATTTCTGATGAAGGATACCAAAAAAAATGTTAATGGAGGATTAATCTATTGTCCCACAAAGAATTTTTAGTAGAAATGAAATATTTTTGCTATTTTCAGAATAGGAGAAAGAATCTAAAGAGAAATTTTTTAAAAAGTCAACTGGCAAAAGAATATCATAAAACAATATTTAGAATTGTTGTTAATATTTTTACCAATTTAAGATTAGGAGAGATAAAAATGATCTAATGTAATAGAAATGTATTAGTGCTAACAAATTTTCCAGCCTGTTGCTTATCAGTGAGTTCAAACTTCAAAAATCATACTTTTTTTCTAGCAGAGAATGAAGGCTAGAATTAAATTAAAATCTGGGAAATAAAAGACGGTGACCTTCAAGTGTAGCCACTTGAACACTGTAATAAATTAGGTCACTTCAGTTCACTGAGTCTGAAGTTGAAGTCACATCAGAGGGAATAAACAATAAGCCTTATCTGATACCTTTCCTACAATAATAAATTTTACAAATAAAGCTTATCATAATGATGTGACATCTTCTAATTGTCAATATCTGAATAGTCTCAATTTTCCAACGTGAAAATCAGATAATTAATGGGCTTTTTATCTGATAAGTGTACTACCCAAATATTTGGGTGAAAACCTAGTCCACAAATTTATTCCTAGTTTTTAATGACAAGATATCTTCATCCTTAATTCATAAAACCATAATTACTTTTAATGTTTGACAGGATTTTGTATAGTTGAAACAGTTTGTATACTGCATTTAAAAATGTTAATATTTTAAGCAATGGCTTGGAAAGAATTGATCAATTTATATTCTTATCCAGTCAAAAGGAAATGGGAACAAATGGCCAGTGATGTCCTCCTGAGGGAAGTCTCTTCCATCCTTCCACAGCACAGATACCTTGAAATGAAACAAAAAACATGAAACTTGAATGACTATTACAAAACCATAATTAGGGCCCTCCCTGGTGGCACAACAGTTGAAGCACAGCACTGCAAAGCTGACGACAGCTGCTTCAGTACGAGTTTGATCCCCAGCTGGGGAGGTGACCCACATGGCACAGATGACATCTGCTCCCCTCAGCAGTGTACTTCATCAGTCTGCCTGTTCTGCTCCCCACTCAGTCTCTGGTAAGTCCTTTTACTGCCCCTGCACCCCTGGCCAATACCCCAGTTCTATATGCATAGATAAATAAATCTTTTTCAGAAAAAAACCTTTAAAGTTATTACCTTAAAAATACATATATAGAGCTCTACATCAGTGCTTCTCACACTTCAGTATGCATATAAGGACAGGATGATCTTGTGAAAATGCAAAATGAAGATTCTTTTAGCTAGACTAAGTTAAGGTCTAAAATTCTGCATTTCCTTTAAGGTCCTAGGTGTGCCAACACTACTGGTGTGGCCCAAAGTAGCAAAGCCTTCCGCTGCTAGTTTGACAACTGTTTCAAACACTGAGTTGGAATTCAGGTAAAGCTGAAAACTCAAGTGCCTAGATCTAGCACAGCACTTTTTACTTGCACTCTGGAAGAGGGAAGGTTGAGCAGGCTAGATTCGGCATTGCTGGCAGCTCAGGCACATTATATCCAGTCTGAACCAAGAAATAGTTACCAAAAGACCACAGATCATCTACTAACATAGTTCAAAAACAGCAGAGACTGTTTATTTCGAAGCTAATGTGTGTGCTGCTCTACAGAGTTTTGAAAATAATGGTGAAAAAAATGCAACATTTACCCTCTATAAAAATACTGGAGCATCTACATGAGTTACACATGCTATTACTATGCAAATTTGTAAACCATTTAATACGTAGAACCTTACAAACTATTACAGCTATTGATTCAAAATAGTGAAAAAACGTGAAATTTTCTGTGATTCAGAGAAACACGTTCCGTAAATATTTTCTGTGTGATAGTGGCAAGTGATTCATATTTGTGTTTTCATAGTTCCATCTTCAGAATCATTTAAGAAATGTAACTGTGTCTCTACTATTTACCCAAACTAAGAAGATTAAGTTGTCATTATCCCAACCATAATTACTCTGATCTATTACACTTGGTGTGCAAACCAAAACATCAGTCATCTGGGTAACTGCCATATCTGCATATTATTATCACACAATTACTCATCCAAACTGCAAGACAAATATAAAACTAGATACCCACTGATGTACTTTGTTTGATACAAATGATTTGTAGATGTTAGTCTTTTTCTTGCTTCTCTTTGATTTAGAATTCCGGATTACAGTTTTGTAAGCACTACTGCTCAACTCCATACTATATTTATTTTTAAAAATTGATATAATTATTTTGTTTAGAGGTTTATGGCTTTGTTCTAAAGGGGCTCTTTATTGTAGCTGGTTACTGAATGCAGGTTTATAAATAATGTTTTAAAGAAACTAATTTGGACTATATGTTTAAATAACAGATATACAGAAAATATTTGGGGGCCCTCCCCTGTGGCACAATGGGTTAAAGTGCAGCAACAGGAGCTAGACACAGTCACTTCAACATGAGTTCAATCCCGGCCCTGGAGGTGACCCATATGGCACAGCAGACCTCTTCTGTCTCGCCCACTGCTCCCCTCAGCAGTGTATTTCAGTGAATCTACCTGCTCTGCTCCTCACTCTGTCTCTGGTGAATCCTCTCACCACCACTGCACCTCTGTCCTGTACCCAAATCTGTATGCATAAATAAATAAATCTTTAAAAAAATAATAAAGAAGATATTTGGAACACTTATTACTTTAAGAATGATACAAGCAGATGTGACTATTAGTAGAGATGACAAGACTTGCATTAACAAGATGGAGTTATAACTCTCGGGTACATGAATTTATGAGAGTGTGCTACTGGATAGAGAGGTGACCACTGATGCCATTTACGTTCAGTACTTTAGGATCAATTCCTGCCATTTAATGCATTACTACAAAAGTGAATTTTTTGCAGCATATTTCTGTTACTTATCAAGTAAACCTAAGTGAACTAATGTTGAAGCTAGATCTGTGTACAGAGCTCTCTGGATTCATTAATGCAATATCAAGGGTCATCTGAGACAAGTTCACACAAGAGTGTTCATATAAACTATTTGCCCAGAAAAATTAAGACAGTGTTAAAAATATAAAAAAAAATAGGGCCCTCCCTGTTGATCCAACGAGTTAAAGTGCAGCACTATGAACCTGCCCACAGCCACTGCAGCACAAATTCAATTCCTAGCAAGTCTCACCTGCTGCTCCCTTCAGCAGATTAT